AACCAAAAAAGGTTATGACTTCAGACTTTGTACTGAATTTTATAGGGTATAAATTGGGACATTTATCTCAAGTAAGTTAAGAGAGTATGTATGTTGTTTTACACAAGATGACTTTTGTCATGTTTTACTATATCTTATAATTATAAATCTAACATCAAAGCTGGTATGAATGTTTAGGTTTCAGGTTCCAAAATTATGCAGGGCAAAATTAAACACATACAGGATGTCCCATTTTAATTAATCACGCAAAATATTTCAAAAAATATGCATCCTATAAAAAATATGTTCAGCATCAAGGGGTACACAAGATGGCACTATGGTTTCATTACAGATGGTGCTACAATTGATAAAAATGGGATTAACTTCATTTTCTTAAATGGAAACTTTTATTTTTTTCTTGCGTATTACGATTCTGCATCAAAAACAAGTCCATATGTAAAACATTTTTGAAAAAGTAAATTTTTTAGTTAATTAGTTTTTTAAGTACATATTCTGCAATTGAATTTACTGTACACATAGATACCAAGCATAAACACTGCAAAATTCAGGATGGGTTTTTGTAGATCACAGGGCCAGGTTTCAGGAAATACAGTGAACTTCCTTTGTGCTGGTCCTGACTAACAAGTTTGAATAGTTTTTGTCTTCAAAATAAATTATAATTAAGAAGAGAGAAAATAAAATTGGATATATTAATTACTGCAGTAGCTGCTCATTATATCACTCTTGTTGAGAGAAGGAAAAGTGAAATATATCTGAATCTGTGATATAACGAGGGGCTACTGTATTATAACGTAACCACACCTAATACACCAGCAAAAACTAAAATATTCTAGGCTACGAATGTTCTTTTTTCTACAAAAATATCAGGTATTCTTGAATATAAGCTGACAGAACATATTTTTTAAAATTAATCAAATAGATCCAAAATTCAAAAAATTTAAAAATACATATGTGCAAAACTAATGGCATAACAACTTACATGATTTTACTCCTGGTCTTATTAGGTCTTCAGTACAACAGCAGGATAGTTTTTAGGACACACATAATTTGCACAAAAGTAACTACTTTTGTGCAAATTATGTGTTTTACATCACAATCAAATGTTACAAATAATGTTTGATTGTGATGATCATGTACAATCAAATGTTATTTAACATATATAGAAAGATTTCTAGAATGACCAGGGATTGGAGACCTTCTCATATCTTTTTCGTCATCAGAAATGACAAGGATATAGTTGATAAGTTCCAGCCAGGCATTTATTTTATCTCATTATGTGACAAAAGGGTGAACAGATTACTTGTTTCTAATAAAATAAAATTGAAGACAAAACTGTCCAAAAAAGATCACCATTTATTACTTGTGTTCCAAGACTAAAACATTTTCGGCGACATTTTTTTTTAGACATTTTTGTAATTTTTGGTGCACAGAGTATTCTACAAAGCAATAACAGCAGAGAATTTGCCAATAATGTTATCAAAAAACTGTGTAGTATGTGGCCTGAGTTAAAAATGGTACATGGAAAGCCCAAGAACTCACAAAGTCAGGGTTCAGTAGAAAGATGTAATTAAGATTGTAAAGTACTATATTATTTTTCCGACTTTTCCAACGATTATCGACACGACTGTGTGCTAGAAATAGCCATTCCCTAACGGGTACTTTATGCAAATTCGCGTTAGCGTGCCAGGCCTGGACTTTTAGCATGCACCGAAATTAAATAATCACAAAGTTTGTCAATAACAAAAATCAAATATTTAATAAATAATTCTAATATTCTAATAATAACTATTTACAAACTTTAGTAAAATCAAACAACAATTTATTCAATGAAAATCAATAAGAATCAACCCGACAAAACTCAAATCAGTTTAGTTTCTAACTTAAATCTATTCCCCTTTGGAATTCGACAAAAATTCAAAGACTTAACTTATATACAATAATTCTTATGAATTAAAGATTTTAATCGTCACCTCAATATACTAGGAACCTATTTCCTCAACTCTCAAGACTTTCTCTATTCGTCGATCCACAAATCGAATAACTTCAAAATTGCCTTGGAACTATTTTTATTCTATCGGACACCTCTCTCGTTCACTGCTACGAAGCTCACCAAGCTCGTTGCTAACTGGAGTTCACCTCGTTCATCTTCACTTGACGTTCGGACTATATACTGTGAGGTGACGTCACAATTCTGACTGCGATCACTCCCCTCATTTACATACTTATTCGATAACAATAAACTTTTTCTATTTGTCTGGCAGCCTATTTTTCCGACAATACTCACAAACCTTTTACAGTATTCTTTTTTACAATTTTCGGGATGTTTTATTCTTTTAAGATTTAGCGAATTGAAGTTGTGCTTGTGGGGTCTTGTTCCCCCTTTTTCTTGGTGCGGACTTACTTTTTTCTGCTCGGGAACGCAAGTGTGCGTGAGTTTTTTCTACGGTGCTTTTCTCTCATTGGTGAATTAGTTTCTCTTATTTTTAAGTTTCTAAGGTGAATGGTGAGGAAACCTTCGTCCTAACAAAACATAAGCCCCAAACAAAAATATAATAAAAAGCAAAATAAAAGTAAATAAAAATAATGCTTGGATTTGGTTCCTCACAAGATGTAGAAAATATACTTAAGTCTTGGTTAGAGACTAACAACACTAATAAATGGTCAGAAGGATTACGTTTTCTACAACTGATGAAAAATTGAGTGCATCATACTGGTATAAACTGCAGCTCCTATGAAGATGTTTGGAAAAAAGTTAAAAGTTGGATTTAAGAATTTTATACCTGATCATAGTTGATCAACATTAATACAGAGAAAGATTTACAGACTACACACCAACCAATGCTGAATATTATCGGGCTAGAAACTGCTATAATAATAATAAGACAATTTGGCACTACAGTTAGGCTATATCAAAATCTGATATCAAAAAACATTTGATTCAGTATGACACATTCCTCAGAAAAACACTACACAAAAGTGCCAGTGCTGCCAGCTAAAACACATACACCAACAAAAAAAATATAGGAGTAGCCCAAGACATAACGAAAGGTTGCAGCACCACAGCACTAGCAGAAATTTAAATTTGCTGACTGGAACACTTTCAGTTAACCAACGTTTCAGTTGACCAGCTTTCAGATAAATGACACTCTACTGTAATTCATACCAAAAATGAAATTCCAGAAGTTTTTTGTAAATTCATATTTTGATTGAAATTTGTTTATAATACTTTCATTAACATGAGTTTAATCTAAATATATAAAATTGCTGGTCCTGACTGACTGACTGAATGACTCACTCATTCACTGATTCATCATCGCCCAGAGCAAACCGCTTAACCTAGAGGTGAAATTTGGTAGACAGTTAGGGTACGTCATGGAAACACACACTAAGAAGGGATTTTTCGAAATTCCTCCGCAGGGGGAGAAGGAGAGGATTAAGGCTTAACCAGAAGAACAGCTTCTGCTGTACTATTTTAGATGCGATTTTTTGTTTTTATCTGCATTGTGGTAGGGTATGCCATGAGAATGCACACTAAGAAGGGATTTTTCAAAATTTTCCCGCAGGGGAGAGGGAGAGCATTAAGGCTTAACTGGAACAACAGCTTCTACTGCACTATTTTAGATGCAATTTTTTGTTTTTATCTGCATTTTAGTAGGGTATGCCATGAGAATGCACACTAAGAAGGGATTTTTCGAAATTTCCTTGTGGGCGGGAGAGGGAGAGGATTTAGTCTTCATCGAGTACTTAGGTGTATTAAATTAATAACATTTCAGACATTTTTATAAATATTTTTGTCTATTTCGATTTTAAAAATGTTCGAACCGTTTTAAATTCAAATTTGTTATTGCATATTGGTTAGATTATAGAACGATTGTAAACGTTTCAGAAAATTGATCAAATTGAAAATAGTTTGTTTGATTCTCGGCAATTCTCATCATTCTCAGCTATAGGTATTATATAACAATTACTATGGTTGTTGAAATACTGAATATAAATGGGGTTTGGTTGCAAAATCTCTGAGTAACAGCTAGTTGATACATATTTTTGTTAATATTTGTTAATAATACTTAAAAATCACATGTTTTTAAAATACTTTGGTACAATTCACAAAAAATTAATAATTCTTAAAGAAAAAAATGGAATTTCATTTTGAAAATCAAATTGTCCAAAGGGAATGTAGCTTTATTTATAATGTCTGATCAGTTTAATGAATTATTCAATATCTATCAGACTGCATGGCCATTTTAGTCATTATTTATAATGGCTGGGCATTATAAATAATGACTAAAGTCATAAACCAATGATAATGTCATAAACCAAGTGATTAATAGGGCATTATAAATAATGCCCTATTAATCACTTGGTTTATGACATTGGCACCACATCCATGAGAATTAAAGAACACCAATACAATATGAAAAAGAAAATGGCCAACACAGTACATCACACAATGGGCCAGATATGATTGAAACATCTGAAGTTCTTTATATTTACAAGGTGATTAAGAAAGTTGAAGCAGTAAATTTTAAAGAGAATGACACTATGTCTACAGCTTGGCATACATTGGGTTAACTGATGTAGAACTTTCATAGTTTTGTGCATATAGTTTTTAAATTTTTATCTATTCAGTTCATTTAAAAAGTATATGTTCTGTCAGTTTATATCTGAGAATACCTGACAATGTTTATTGTAGATGAAAGACAATGTTAGTATAATAAAATATTTGTTTTATACTAGTTTTTTAGGTGATGTTACATATATGACCAGTTTGAATTGTGGTTAATTTTTTTCTTCATGCTTCATGTTAATTATTTAATGATTTTAAGGAAACTTTTGTTTTCCCACTGTATTTAGTAATTTTTGACAATAATTAAGCATTTTTTGCTTTTATATCAATAAATTTTTAAATACAAGAAAATTTGAATCTTCTTGAATTGAATGTTTATTATATAATTTTTTTATATGCTAACAGTATATCAGAATATTATTTGTTTTTTTAGTGGGACTCATGGTTATATGGCTCCTGAAGTTTTATCCAAAGGAATGGCGTATGATTCAAGTGCTGACTGGTTTTCATTAGGATGCATGTTATATAAATTGTTGAAAGGGTAAAGTGCAAATATGAATGCATTTGTGTGTATTAATACACACACACACATATATATATATATATATTTATAATACAGTAAAACTTTTTTAAGTCAAATTTCACCAATTCAAAGCTGTCTACAAGTTTCAGGTACAGTTTATAGGATTTTCCATATAATCTCACTAAGTCAAAATTATTGGTACTTTTAACTCAGATCTATTTTCTGTATATCTTCCATCTGTTGATAGATATGTTATCTGCCATTTTTTTTTCTTTTTATATTCCATGGGAATACAGTGAATTAAGCTGAATGCAACATCACACCATTACAACTACACATTATCATTATTTTACTGATATGGTATGCTACCAGCATTCCATTTGGGACATGGGGGTGCCTAGACAACATGCTCTACAGTTCCATAAATTGTATACAATTTTGTAATCATTCTACGAACATCTTGAGAAATAGCTCAATAATGGGGAACAAATGGCAACAGAAAAATTTTAGAAAATTAGGTATTAAACTCATTAACTTGAAACTCTAACACAAAGTTGAAATATTTTTACCATTTAAACATTGACTTAATCAGGTTTTACTGTATATACTATGCTTAAATTGTTTTATTATTGAAGATTCTTTTATTATGAATTATAGATTAAAGAAAAAAACTGATTTTCAATCAACAAACTAATCTTTAAAGATAGTATTCTATTCTTACAAATAAACTACATATTTTTAGAATTGCATGTACAACTTTTTAGAAATTAGAGGATTTCATCACTTAAAATTGTATCTGATTTTAAGTTCATTCAAAATTGAATAACTGACACTGTTAAATGTTTATTATGTTTAGTTTTAAGCAGTACATGTTAAAAATAAATATATATAATGAATTATTTCTATCATAGTTATCTAAAAAAAAAATTGTCATCTTTGTTTCGGCTTATAGACATATGGCTTGCTCAGCAAATGGTTACTGAGTGACTAATATACAACTGAACAAAAATATGGAATATTTTTAAAATGTTGTGGGAAAATTATTTTGATTCAGAAATAATCAAATTCACAAAAATATTGCTGAACTTTTAACAATTGCAACTTATGCAAATATAATAGATATATTAAAGTATTTACACATTAAATGTTGTAAAGATATTTGCATAAGTTAAAAACTTACAGCAGTATATTTAAAAAAAGATAGAAGTTAAAAAACCTTTAAAACTTTATAAAGGCCTACCACAAGAAGATATCCTTCTCAATCTTTACTGATTTTCGAGGTGACTTAATTAAAAACTATAGACTACAACTTTCTTTTAACAAGGAACAAGCTTTATTTAATTATTACCTTCAAATGCATTTTTTCCTGGCTATAATGGGGCTTCTTTAGTGGGTAAAGCATCACAAGCAATATCTGTACCATAAACATCATGGCTTTGATGCGAAAGATATTGTCTGGACTTTGTGATACAGGTATTGTTTGTGATTCTTGACCCACTGAAGAGGCCCCATTATAGCTAGGGCGAAATGCATTTGGAGGTAATATTAAATAAAGCTTGTTCCTTATTTTAAAAAAGTTGTAGTCTATAGTTTTTAATTAAGTTACCTTGAAAATCAGTAAAGACTGAGAAGGATATCTTCTTGTGGTTGGCCTTTTTTATTAGAAGTTTTAAAAGTTTTTAACTTTTTACTTTTTTTAAATATACATTTTTACCTTATACATATACTGATTCCATTGTCTAATTTTTATAAAAAGTTACAGCATTTTAAACAATGTAAGAGTTGAACAAAAGTATGGAATTATGAAAAACATTAAACAAAAGTATGGAGTACTGATGATTAATATTGGTAGAATCATTTTTTGTATAACACCCATAATTCTTTGTGTATTGTAGAAATAAGATTTTTTATGTAGTTCTGGATCAACCTCTGACCTTGATTCTTTGACTGTTCAAACAGCCTCCTAGAATGAATGAAATTTGAAATAAGAGGCATCACTATATAAAAATTTGAATTAATATACAAAATAAAGTTAAATAAAATTTTTAAATTTATTTTTGTAATAAACTTATGTAAATGATGATTAAAGCAAACAAAATGCTGAGATGATGATATTGCCATTTAAGTGTGGAGCAGTATATCAGAGTAGTTAAAACAAAGCTAAAAGAAATCTGTAATTTTTTTTCTGTTGAAGATTGTTTTAAAAAGTAGAACATTTTTATGTGCCAAATGAGAAAAAAAAGAGTGAGATTTGGTGCAAAATAGCTAAACATGGCATCATCATAGACACTGTCTATTATGCAAACTAGCATGTGTTTGCATGGGACTGCATCCATTTACTCCCTATTTTTTGAATACAGAAGAATAGTCTGTTTAAATCATATGTTTCAATTGCTCTGCAATTGGAAGTTGAATCTGTGTTTGCTTACTAGGAGAAGTAAATCTATCCTACTCAAAATGGAACATTCATTACACTTCCGTGTTTTATTGTTTACATCAAAAGGTGTAAAAAGGAACCATTATTGGAAATAAGGTTATTTCTTGGGTTGTAAAGGTAATTTATAGTTTGGTTTAATAAATTCTTGTAAAATGTTTGTTTGCTTTATCTTGTGAAAATTAACTTTATGACAATGGTGTTTTTTAGGACAGTGATGAAATTCACTTTAATGCAAGAATTTGGTTTATTGGTGCTTGTTTTAAGGCAACTCAACTGTGTTTATTTTCACAAAAAGTTACTAATGTTTTAGAGATGTGTATGAATACCATTATAAATAGCCAAAAGGCCCAAAGCTATAAACAAGACAACATAAAATATGCCTAATAGTAGAACCATAAAATTCATTAAAACTTTGATAAAGTATATTCAAAACCAATTGATAAAATAAAACAAATACATGTTTTAAAAAACTAGGTGTTTAAAAAATGTATAACAATTTAAATTTATAAAATATATTAAGTATTATAAATTATAAAGTCAGACAAACTGCTGATTGTAAGATGCTTTAGAAGTTTGTTTTTATAGCCAGGAATAGGAAGTATTTGCCCAAAACTAAATCGATAAGTGAAAACAGAATAGTGTTATTTTTCAAAAATGAGTTTATTACATAAACTTTCAAAACAATTCCATTAAACAGATAGTTTTTAATGATGAGATAGTAGTGTGTGTGTGTGTGTATATATATATATATATATATATACCGTGTTTCCCCGAAAATAAGACATCCGCAGAAAATAAGACCTAGCACTGGTTTTGCTGATTTGCGAAATATAAGACCTCTCCCTGAAAGTAAGACCTAGCGAAGTTTTTTTAGTCGTAACGGTCATCGACAGATGGTTGAAAGTGGCCGTTGGCTTTTTGAAAGTACAGCCACTGATTGGTCAGCAGACAATTACGCTACATGGCATGATTTGCATAAGACTATGGCTTGGGAATCATAGATTTGCATAACGTTACGGCTGGTGATGGCTAATTGGTCGGCCGGGAATCACGCCACATGACATTTGCATAGTGCTACGATTCAGTAAGCACTAATTGGTCATCGAGTCCGATGTTGACGCTATAAAAAGACGACAGTTCGACACACCGGATATACGTCACTCTCGTCTAAGTTCGAGTTGGGAGCTTTTTTTGTTCAATAATACATGTGAATTCTTTTTCCTGGAAAAAATAAGACATTCCCTGAAAATAAGACCTAGCACATTTTTCAGAGCAAAAATTAATATAAGACACTGTCTTATTTTTGGGGAAACACGGTATAATCATATAATCTTAAGAAAACAGTATGCTTTGTTAAACAAAGCTGGTAGTTAAGGAAAGCAATACAGTTTTCTACATGTAATCCTTGCAGGAATGTGAATTGCAAAATTATAAAAGTTAAACTCTTATTAAATAGTTCATAAAATAGAATATGATCAGAATATAAAATGTGGCAAAGTAAATCAGGAAATCAAAGCCAAATTCTCGCAATGTCTCTAGAGCAAGTGAAGTGTTGCTGCTTGTACAATTTGTTAAAGTAAAATACATTTTGTTTAAGGAAAATACAGATGTAGACCAGCGAGGTAAACAATCTATATATGTAACCCATTCAAAGTGTCCGTCTGTCCCGTAACCGTTTGATAACGGACACTAGAGGCGCCCCTATCGTGTGTCATATTTCAAACATTCAAATTAACAATTTTAATTCTTATTTAAATTAACAATATGAATTATTATTATTATTCATTTGGCCCATAAATTATTTGGTCAATATAACAATATAAATAATTCAGTATATTTGTAATAGGAATTTATTATTTCAGGGGCTTATATCTCGTGAAGGATCGCGAGTAGGGGTATGGTTCCTTTGACTTTATTGTTTGCACAGGGGCTACAGTTTGGGGGGTCGCCACCTCTTCATTCGGAGGGTAAATCTTACCATTGGGACTTTAACAGAGCTGTACAGCATATTGATAGGAACAAAAAAGTCAAAGGAACCGTGCCTCATGGAAATTTGTAAAGAACGCCCACTAGGGGGCGTCCCGGGCTACTAGTAATCAATAACAAATTGGAAATTGACCAGAAAAGAACAAACTCATGGAATAGAACATGAAGAGATGAGGTGACAGTGTTTCAAAGAATACCTCTATGAATAACAAGTTTTTTTGTGTTGAATCAATATGATATTTAAAAGTAAGTTCTTCATTGAGTATGATGCTAAGGTTATTGGTGAGATGGGCATAATCATTTGTTTGCCAATTAAGTTGACCAACAACTTGTTCTCATTTCAACATAAAATTGTAAAAACAATGTAAATTAAGATAGCAATAAATGATACCATTATAGCAACAGTTATTGAAATTTGTGACATATTCAGAAGACATGCTGCTCACCTGTTTTAATTACCTGACAACTGACAACTAATTGCCTAAGGGGCAATGACTTTTCAGCTGACAGCTAACAAAAGCTATATAACAAAAATTAAACTCAATCAATTTTTGTTGTTTCAGTTAGTCAGTTTAACAAAGTTGAAATCATGTTTTCATGTTTGAATATATGTTCAACTGACTTTCAACTTCCAGTTGTTTAACAACAGTTGAAAGCCAAAACTGCTATTTTTGAGGATGATAGATGAATGTAGAATAGACGAATAATAGAAACTAATTTATAATAATCACAAATGAAAAAATGTAGTAATATCCACTTACTCAACTACTGTAACCTTATATTTATTCCATTTAGTAACAATAAGTAAATTACATAACTTTTTTTAAATGGCTACCTGAATGTCATTGCTTATTGAAGAGTAAATAAATACAATTATGTTCTCTGTTAATTAAATAAACTAAAATGTACAGATTTAAAGCAAGTAGTTTGATTCTTTTTAATAGAATGTTTTCAGGCTTATGCATATTCAAATAGAATGTAATAAATTTGAACAAAATAAGAATATTGGTTATCACAGCATCATAATTTCTTTTTCATTTTTCATTTTTTTTAAACATTAATTTCAGTAAAACATTAAATTAAAGAAACAAAATTTATTTTGGAAATGAATGAAACTAGGCACTATATTTAAATAGAAGGTTTTCTTAAAAAATAGTTCGAGTTTCCTTTCATTTAAATAAATTATTATAGGTTAAAAAGAATTTCAAGAATTTAAATTCTAAACTAATAAACTATTATATATATTAACAAAATTTAATGTGTGTGATTTTATTTTAATTTTGTTTAATTTAATACTTCACTGATATTACTGATATTATATTAAAAGACAATTTTAGCAGTTTGTTATTATGTCAGTCAATATGTTTAAATACATTTTATTCTATATGAAATTTCAAAAGCATAAAAAAGTTTATTATTAAAAGTAATAACAGCAATTATGTTAAACCTGTGTATTTTGGTTTATTTAACATTATTTACACACAATTTTGTTTGTTCATTCTCCATTACATAATTCAAAAATTACAGTACACATAAAACAATAACTTTTAAAATTTAATAGGAATACTATATTGTAATTATATGATGCATGTTCAAAATTTTATTTTTTCTTTTGCCATGGCGCAGCATGGCCTGTATGGCCCTTGTGCCAAAAAACTCAAACCAACCATGTTCAAAAAGTAAAGATACATCACTTATAAGCTGAAAGCTACTGGTTTAGTGCATGCATTGACAACAGTTGATTTGACCTTGAAACATTTATGATGTTTCGTGATTGATTGTCATTGTTATGCTGAGTCTGGTTTAAATAGTTCCTTTTTTTTCTGGTGGCTGCATTGATTCAGAATCTCACCAAATGTGAAGTGTGCTCTGTCATATGTTTTTGCAAAAGGTGAGTGCCCAACAGATATTTACAAACAAACTGTTTACATTTATGGGAACATTATGAATTGACAAAATGTAAGAAAGTGGTGCTATGCATTCTCTGGAGACAGGACTAATGTTTATGATGAACACAAGAGTGGTATACTGTTTGTGATCTCTAATGAACTTTTTCAAAGAACCAAGGAAGCAATTGGCATCTCACAATAAGATAATTGCATGAAGTCATTCCAGAAGTGTCGAAGTTCACACTTCGTGAAGCTGTGAGGCTTCTCCAATAATTCAAGTGAGAAATTTTCATTTATCTGCCATACAGTTGAGACCTTGCTTCCAGTGACTTCCACTTGTTTCTTTATCTAAAGATACATCTTGTGGCACAACATATCCAGGATGACGATGAGATCATAAATGAAGTTGAAATGTGGTTCTGGCAGCAAGTGGTAGAATTCTATGACACTGAGTTTCTTAAGCTAGTACTCAGACTTAACAAGTGTTTGGACAATGGTGACAGTTATGTAGAAAAATAATGCATGTACCAGTGTAATGGATGTTTGATCAAATAAAAATACTTTGAATGAATATTAGTGGCTGTATCTTTACTTTTCAGACACAACACACATACTACTAGTTATCTTGATTTCATGAAACTGATGTAGATAGTATATTTTTTAATATTAATATTCATAAATGAAAGTAAACTTTTTATTCTATATAAGCTATCTTAACCGGATATTTATTTATGGTAATATTTTAGTGATTTGTAATTTAACTTTTGAAAACTATTTTAAATATTTGAAAATACTTTCTAATTTCTTTTACGAAATTTCATGACAGTGGCGTATTTTTAAAAGTGAAACCCTTCCTGGAGGGACGGGCTTGCAGTAAATGCGCATCGGATGAGGGAAATGCTTCTTGTTCTCATAATTTGTGTGGTTAGTATTCATAAATTAGACGTTATTTTCAAATTTTATTAATTGTAAATTATGTATTTTATGTTAGACACAGCCCATTCAGGCAACATAAAACAAAAGACAAACATGAAATTGATAGAATGACAATGACAATGGTAAGTTTATGAATATTTTTTAAATAAATGTAGGTTAGAAAATTTGACTACATATATATTTTTTAAAAATCTTTAGAATGTTGAGTTACCAGATTCATTTTCTGTTGAATTGAAAGCATTGTTAGAAGGTTTGCTGCACAGGGATGTTGATAAAAGATTAGGATGTAAAGGAAAGGGGTAAGATTATTTTTCTTACTATTGTTTTTGTTATGCTGTGTATTTATATTTCCTATTCAAAGAAAATGAAATGGACTAATTGAGATAAGGAGGGCTAGTTCTTGGAAATTTTCAGTTGCAAAATTTATTAAAAAGCCCATAAATACTATTTTACATATACTGTAATTTTGTGCAGATAACCCATTGATTACCTATGTTTAAAGATAGTTTAAAATGGATTGCAGATTATATACTGTTTTCAAATAGCAATCACAAGTTAAAGTTGATTCAAAACTACTGTATACATCTGCCAGTGTCTGGCAACAATTCACCGGATCGACAATTATTTACCTTTATGCAAGATCTTTTTTTTAATGGTCTGTCAGCTGATGACATTTTCTATTTGTGATTGCAAGGTTGGCACCATGTCAAAATGCCATGTCAGGACTGACACCATTGTGCCTTAAGGGACATGGAAATCACAATAGCCATTAGATGTTGGTTACACATTTACTGCTTACAAGCCTGAGTGGTTATGCTTGCAGGCAATCAGATTTAGAATGGAGGAGGTTCGAGAGAGAGTGCGTCCAGAAGAAATGCATTCAATTACAGAATTAACAGAAAGAAATACCCGTTTATTTACATGGGATTATACATATATTTACAAGCTATAGGAAGTTATTCAGGATTTTAATATAGGTTTATTAGGACTATCATAGCAGGTTCCTAGCCACAAGAGAGAGTGAGTTTACATTCAGTTGTGTGCTGATAAATACCTTGATTTGTTGAGTTGTTTGATGAGTGGATGTTTGACCCAAATGGGTAAGATATTGGATAATGTGATGAGGAACTATCGGTTGATAGAAATGTTGGCACTAGCAGGTGGAGGATAGGTAGATACTAGTTAGATTAGGTCTAGTTCAGGTAATTGGCATTCCATAGGGGTTATTGGCAGTGCAGAACTGGATAATGTTGGAGCATGGCAGAATCCTTGGTCCATGATGAGGTGGTAATGAATGCATGATGATCAGCAAACTCTCAATGGTGGACCAACTCCTGATGGATGGATGAACTCTGGAGATGGCAAACTGTTTTGTCATCATCGATTTTTCACTTGTATTTGGGCTGCTTCCCTTTTCTTCTCATGCATATCTTTGGTAATGTTAATTTCTATGTCCAATAGCAATTTTTGTTTGTTTTTTTTCATTAGGTTTCCGGTGACACATTCGATGTGTCATCTTGGAAAGGAAGTGACTCCAGGGTGAAAGATATAATCATATCCTTCAACAATTTTTTGTTGGGAAGAATTTTAACATTATTTTTGGGGGTTTTTCCTTTGTAAAATTTTTCATCAAGTTTGGGCCCTCACATATTTATACATTCCATAGGGAAATATTTTGGCTGACAGAGTGCACAGAGACTAATCATTAGGAAAACAAAGGCAGCTTTGCAATAAAAGTGCTTTAGTCATTATGTTTATATCATAGACCAATGTTTTTCAATTTTTTTGGATTCACATACACAACATACTGTGGTGTGTCGTGTTTTGAGTAGACAAAGAAAACAGACAACACTAAGAGCAGAGATAATCGTATATTAACACTAGGAGTACAGCCAGAACGGGGTCGAAGGGGAAACATACATACAATGTGACTAGTTGTTCTTAATCCAAGATCTTGCTATTCTTCCCTTTTCGCTCGGTCCTTTTCTTTCTTCTTCTTCCCGCCAAAGTCTTCAAACAGCCAAAAAGGTATCCCATGATCCATTTACACTCCTTATATATCAGTTGCCCCTAGCGTCCCCTTTTGTTACATTCCCAAATTACAAATTAAAAAATAAAATAGACAATTATTATAACACACGAATATTTACATTGACATAACGTTACTAATAATACATATAAACAATAATATTTTAGTAAAAAAAGGAATACCACATTTAAGCCTTCATGAAGGGGAAAAAGAAAAAAAAAACAAACATGGTGGGCACCACCACAATACCAATACCAGCACACTTCTAATTAAGAAATATTTTACTAATGTTTTCATCTGTTTATAACAGACATCTTCAGATATATAGTGCAGAACAAAATGGCTACATTAAAATTGAACTCATTTTTACAAATGATTCACAAGTTCAATTTAAAATTACTTTTGGAGCAAAGTACGTCTAGTTTAAAATTATTCTTCATATACATTACAAAATGATTTAAAATTACAGTAGAGCATCAATTATCCGAATCAATTGGGGACTGGGGTTGTTCAGAAAATCGATTTTTCAGACAACCAATTATATACAAAAAAATATATTAACCTATTCCATGTTGAAATTTGTTCAAATCCTGGCACGTCCTTAAGTACCCTCTCATGGTCACGTCAGTGCTTTTAGCTAAAACACGCACACCAACAAAAATAATATTGGAGTAGCCCAAGATATAGCCAAAGATTGCAGTGCCACAGCACTAGCAGAAATTGAAATTTGTTGACTGGAAAGCTTTTGGTTAATTGATGTTTTGGTTGATCGACATTCGGATAATCGATGCTCTACTGTATTCTCAAACAGAATACATACTTAGTTTAAAAATATTTTTAAATAACTTACAAAACTTGTTTAAATTATTTCTCGAAAAAATTACGTATTTAGTTTAAGATAATTTTTTGAACAATTATTTTCACACAAATAACTAATTTAAATTTTCATTTATGTAAAATTTAAGTTCTGTATAAATTTCAGTTGACTTAAAGTATTTAAGATGTGCTCTATCAGAAACCCTGTGTAGCAATCTTGTGTTTTGTAGATCAACACATACATCCTCACATCCAACATAAGTGGCTAAGGCCATGGTTGAAAGTTGTTTTCTTATCAAGTATTTGTGCTCCTTCATTCTCACAGTGATAAAGTCTCTTTTGCAATGCTCTTACAGTCACACCAATATATAATATTGTGTGGTTAATTCTGTCATCACACACAGGTACTGTAAATACCAGGAGAGTAAGAGTCAGATAGTGTTTTTATCATTTCTGATGAGTAAAAAATGTTGGTGAACATTGATATGCTAAATGAACATTCATTGTTCTGACGATTTCTCTACAGATTTTAGATAGTATCCTTATTGTTACATAATTATATTCAGTTATCCCACCTGTGGTATGTTTCTCTTCTCAGACTGTAGATATTATTTTGTGAGTGTTTTAACCAGAGAGGATGGGTATTCATGTTGCATCACCAATGACTTAATCCATGACAATTTTTTTTTTTTTGTTCTCCTTCAAGCACTGTGCCTAGGCTATTTTTTACAAGAGATCAAAAAGTGGAAATTTTCTAACAATAAGGGTCATGCAAATTGTATGGTATAAATAGAAGTGAATACAATTCCTGACAGTAAACAGAGGTGGAAAGTTGATCGTTTTCCAATATGATGTTGATATCTAAAAAATGTATAGTTTTTATGACTTTCTTGCTCAACATGTAATGATATGCAAAAGGGTTATTGTTAAAGTATTTTATCATTGAGTCAAGGTTAGGTTTGTCCTTCCACATAATGAAAATGTCATTAATGTATCTGGTGTAAAGCACTATATTTTCATAAAATTTAGGCAATATGGCATTCTCATATTTTCTGACCACCAATTCACACAAGGTTGCTGATAGCAACTTCCTATGGGTACAGCTCTACTCTGCAGGTATGTGACACCTTCATAATCAAAGAAGGAAGAATTAACCATTAAGTGCGATAGATCCAACACAGAAGATAGATATTATAAGTGTCCTCTATATTCCTTAGAAGAAAATCTCTAAGCTCGCAAAAACAGGGTTCAAGTTTTATCGATGGAAACAATCCGTCATAATCACAAACTGTGAAGTACATAATGCCTTGAAGTGTCAAGATTCCAAAGTCTTTCTAGTACTTGTTCCAGACTGGTGATAGTTGTTGGGATGCTACCCTAGATGACTGTTGATGTATTTGTTTAATAGTCTCTCCATGTTAATGGTGGGTGAAGTTGTTTTATCCACCACAGAATGTAACTGTTGACCCATTTTATGGGTTTTTGCAAATGCAAAGATGTGGGAACCATGTTGTTTGTTGAGGAAAGTTTCAAAATATTAGCAAAGGGTGGTGTTGGAGATTTTCAAAACCTTGGAAGTTATTTTGTCAAGAAAACCATAAGACACTAGCATGCATTTTGTGTCGGAGATATGTTGTAATATGCAATTGCAGTATGATTTGTTTTTCATAAGGACCGTATATTTTGATTTATCTGCTTTTAAGGTAATGAAGTCATTGTTGTTCAACCATCTTCTAGATGCGTTAATAGATGATCAGAGGGTCCTAGAAGAATTAGTAACATTAATGCTACAGGTGGTCATTGTCATCTTTTATCTGACATATTCTTTAGAGGTGTGATCTAGATTTCAATCATTTTTTCAATGTTTAGTATAGTTTTGAAGGTACTGGATCCTTGGAGGAGGGCATAAGAGGGAACTAGTTTGTAGACATGCATGAGTGTTGAAGGAGGTAGAACAGTGTCACAACAAATCAATCCACGTGGATGTTGGGAGTCACCATCAATATTTTGATATTTGGCAATCCACCTTAACTTCCTTTTATGTTTTTTCTTTTTTTCTTACTATACTCATTTACTGGAGCATTAATAACATTTTTTTTTACCTGTTAATCATGTGTCAAATTTAGAAATAAAACTGTATTTTATGAATGATACTTATTATCTTATTTTTCAAACAAAGTACTTATGACTCTGAAATCTTGATTTCAGGAATGCAATGTTTTTTTATGAAAATAAATTGTTTTTTAATTCCTGAAATCAATTTCTTCAAAGAAATACAAATTCTTTCAGAAAATTGGTCACACTTTGCAGTAACAATATTGTATTGATTTTGAATCTTTTTAATTATTATGAAAAGACTTGTTTGGATACACTTATTCTAGACATTTAAGAATTATTTAGATAGTAATTTTTTAAAATAATTTTTATTTGCATCATTAAAAATTTTTTAATTTTAAAAAGCAAACACTATTTTATATGAAATATTTCAAATTTATAATATTTAATAATAAAATACTTATTACAGTTCTGAAGAAGTAAAAGAACAAGCATTTTTTAAAGGTATTGATTGGCAGTTGGTATATCTTCAAAAGTATCCACCTCCACTGATACCACCAAGAGGTGAAGTTAATGCTGCAGATGCCTTTGATATTGGTTCATTTGATGAAGAAGATACAAAAGGCATTAAAGTTAGTTCTTTTATATTACTTTTTAATGAGTATTATATAATTGTTTTCCATGTATTTTGTCCAGTTTAAAAGATATATAAATTTAAAATAAATGCTGAATTAGAAAACTTGTTTTTGACTGAGCAGATTACTGTTAAGTATAAAAAAACATTTTTCATAAGCTGAAACTAATTACACTTGAACAACAACTTAAATACTTAAGGTATTGTTTAAGCTTATTGTTAACCTTCTGTAGGTTGTGCTCTTCATGATTTCCTGGCATTTTTCATTACATTGCAATATTTTCAAAAATTTTTAATATCTGCATTTCTTATTCACTTATTTTGTTCTTTCACTACAACTACTACTACTAGTAGTAATGTAGTTAATGTTAAAGGCATGGTAAAAAGACATTTTTTTTTGTTCAGTTTCTGGATTATGCATTGAATTCCTACAGCACATTCTACAGCATATGGTTTCACAGTTCTACTACTCAGACCTTTAACATGCAGTAGAATTTAATTTTCAATTTTTGTTGTACTGCATGTTAAAGATTTGAGTAGTAGTACTGTGATCTATTACAAGTGCAGTTTTTCAGACAAGTGCATGTGATATTTTTTACAATTAAAAACAGTTTAAAAAATAAATAACTTATTGGGTTGGTCAATATAAGCTTTTGATCTGTATTATCAATTAATTTGCAATAAATAACTATGAAATTCATTGGCTTTCCTGTTATAATTACAGATTCATCACACACCTTTTTGATTTGTTATTCACTCAACACACTATTTTATGAATATTGTATTTTTTATTTGTTGGATTCTTTTATAGATGTGCATTTATAATGCCATAATGTCGAATGTATACATAAGTTACCTAGCTGAGGAGGGCTTTTGAACATGCCGAAATGCATTTCAGGAAATTTTGCATTGATTGAATAAAAAATCAGAAAGGTGTATGATGAATCTGTAATTATAACAGAGAAACCAAAAGGTTCATAGTTATTTATTGCAAATTATTGAGTTACATTTACATAGTCTTGTATTTTATTAATCTATATGGAATTTTTTTTGTTGGTTTTTTATGTATTTTGTTTATGTACAAAGGCTGTTCAAGAAAAAAGACCAAATGTTTGCTATGAAAATTTTATTATTTATGTAGAAGTTTCATTAGTTCTTGACTGCTTCAAAGTAGTTCCTTGTACTAGCTACATGCCACTCTCAATTTTTCTTCCACTGCTAGAATGCATTTTCTGGAATGGCATGCATTGCATTTTCTTTTATCTTCTCTGTAATTTGAAAATAATGTCCTTTCAAGAATGTTTTCAAACTAGAAAACAGGAAAACTGCAGAGTTCATGTATGGAGAGTAAGGTGGTAGTGTCTTGTTTCTTGCTAGTGCAAGAGTACAATTGGCACATTGTCATGGGCACATCAAGGCTTGGTTTTTCCAAAATCCAGGTATCTTTTAGCACACAGTAACCTTAAAACTTCTACATAGAACTCTTTGTTGACTCTCTGATCATGATCTCCAAGATCTCACATTTTCACTGTTAAAAATCTGACAGGCACCATGTGCACATTCATTTAGATGGTTGTAGCTCAATGACTAATGCAGATAGCATGATTCAGCAAGTAGCACAATGTTCCTAAAACTTGCTGCTAAATGACAGCACCTGCCACATCTCACTTATGTAGATTTTCTTGATATTCAGAAAGGTCAGTCTTTTTTTGAATAGTCTTCATATACATTTTATGAGTAGACATATATGGTTACAGTCAGATCACTTTTCATTCTTGGCTGTGCTGAATTTTGGATCACACAGATAAACGTAACAAAGTAGAGTAGGTGAGTGAGAGACTAATTTGGAGAGAGAAAGCTCAAGATGTTATTACAGATGAAGTGCTAAAAAGATGTTCGGCATTATTAGCTCCTTCGAATAATGATATTGAACAATTTTATAAATCAATAATAAAAATTAATTGGGACTCTGCAAGTCATTGTGCCTTAGTTACTAAATGGAGACTGTTTATTTGCACCCTTGTGAATGGTTTGATAGTGACTATAAATCAGCAAAAAAAATAAAAACAGAGCATTGAGAGTTTTCATAATAATAGAAATAAGAAAATCTTGTTGAATTTTGCAATCTTGAAACCTTTTTTTTTTCTTGTGCAAAGCTAAGAAGAAAAAATATTGGAATAGAGTGAACTGTCAATTACAATCAGCTAAATCTTCAAAGGAATTTTGGTCAATTATAAATAAGATAAATTTTAAGAAGAGACCCAGCAATAATGTTTTGATTAATAGTTGGGAAGCTTTTCTACAGGAAAGTTTTTGTACCTTGACTCTAGAGTTAGCTCTAACTGCTACAGTGGAATGTTTTTCTCCAATTCTAAATACTCCATTTTCCCTAAACAAACTAAAAGCTACAATTGCTAAGTTAAAGAACAAATCAGCTCCTGGTTATGATGGCATTAAAACTTAATGCATTAAACAGTTATTTGAGGAAATTTTAATGAATTTGTTAAGTTACTTGAACAGGATAAAAGATTTGGCTGTTTTTCCACAAGACTGGAAGAGAGTTCTACTCAGAATGATTTACAAGAAAGGGGACAAGTCTGACTCTCGTAACTATTGCCCAATTGCATTGTTGAATAATTTCAGAAAGTTTTTTATTGGATTACTGTTGTATCATGTGAATTATACATGTGAAATTCATGTGAAATATACATAGACTGACAAAGGAAAGACGTATCAAGAATACTGAGCAACATATTATATGTTCAAACAAAGTATTTTATTTCACATCTATAAAAAAAAAACCTGTTCAAATATTTCAACTCCACAGTAATTAATCACAGTACAGCTTCAAACAATATTTTGGCAGACAATGACAAAATGTACCAATTGCAACATAGAAATATAAGTGATAACTGAAAATTATGACTAATACTTACATGCTAGCTTTAAACCAGGGTAAGAAAGAAGTTGATAGGGAGAGTAGAGAATTTGGGAAAATAGAATATAGTAAAGAGTGAAATACTCTAGGTGTTGCTGCACAATTTGGATGGGATGCCATGTTGAACTTTTTCTGAAAAGTCTCTCATCTTCATCTTCACTAGGTTTCTCCTTGCACCTCATTGCTACACTTTTTATCATAACTATAATAAAATCCAACTTTCTTCTCAGACTCTCTTGAATTCTTCAGTCATTGTCATTCGCAATCTGGAGCACCACATTCAACATCTGTCCACCTGCCCATTATATCTGGGGCATAGAATGCCTCTTTCTTCCACTCACTGGCCTCAGGACTTCCTTTCTTTCATTGTTCTCTGTGGTTCCAAGAATTGGTCACCACCCAAGAGAAAAGAGTTAGAAAGGAATTGGACAGACCTCCAATGGAAATTAAGATTATACAAAGTATTTAGATATTTTGGTAAAAAATAATTGCTTTGTTTCCTCAAGATTTGCATTACAATGTTTATAATCCATTATTAAAAATGGAGAAATCTTTTAGAAGAAATTGGGCTGCTTTGATTCATAAAATATTTAATGATTTGGGTTATTCATGTATTTTCTTAAACCAATCTTTTTCCTTATTGAAGACCCACCTGAATGAGATAATTTAGGTTAAATTTGAACAATTGTGGAACCAAGACCTGTCTTATTTGTCAATGTATCAAGGCTATGTTTTTGATTGAGCATTCAGCTGGCAAACTAGGTATTATTTAAATTATGATGTAAGTTATCTTGTTAAAAGTTTAATTATGCAATTGCATCTGAACAAATTTCATATTATGATAAGGGGCCATCATTTGGAAATTTTTAATAATAGACTTTATCCTTATTGTAAAAGCACTGTTGATTCAGTAATAACTCATATCTTTGATTCTTGCACTGTGTTATTTCAGTTAGAAAATAGGATTCTAGATGAAGAATTTAAAATGGTTTATTTAAAAGCAATAATTTATCTAAACTGATTCTTTGTAATGTATACTCCTTTTTGCTGAATTTATTGACATATTTGTAATTAATACTATGTTATTTATATATACTTTTTTTTAATGTTGTTTATTTGTGTAACATCCAAATTCATAAACAATATTACATCCACAACACACCATAACTTCTAAAACTTACTTCAAACATAAACCAAAAATGGTGCTTAATTCAACTTTTACATCTTTCACTAACGTTTTTGAACCTTTGTCCAAATCCAAATTCATTAACTTGTTATCTGTTTCCTTCTTGTGTGATTGAAATTGAATCAATAAAATACAGTAAGACCCCACTTAATGCGGCGGACGCATTCCTAGACAACAAAGCGCTAAACAAAACAGCATTAAACGAGGTCATTTTAACATAGAGTAAATAGGAATAGGGGAACACGCAACCAAAAATAAACAAATTTTACTTTAATTTTAAGTTATTTTTATATTAATTTGTATTATAATATATGTTAAATAACACACAAACATATGCACACAGAAATGTAAAGTTCATTTTTTGTGAGGAAGGTCCTAACTTTTCTGAAATTCTTGTTCTTTTGCAATAAAGTGGTGAAGTTACATTTGTTGGTTTTTTCTTTCTGTAAGCAAATGTCGGTAGCAGAAGATTGCATCCAAAATGCCTCATTTTGCTTTTGCATTCCTTTGAAAATCTGAATCATTCACTACAATTTGATCAACAGTTTCGGTTATCTTACCAAACTCTTACTAAGGAAATCTGTAGAGAAATTTTTTGGGTTCTTCATTTTCAGAATCTCTGTTTTCCAGTTCTTGAAGGTCGTCATTGGTAAGGCTCTCACCTGAAACCTGTGGTGACTCCTCAACATCCTGCTCGTCTATATCTTCTAGTCCTGCTATATTGATTAGGTTGAGTTTGGTCAACCTAACGATACAGCGATAGGCTCTTCTTGTTGAGAATTCTTGGATATCTTCAATCATAACTTCTTCCCCACTTTATTTGTGCATTATCAATTAATTCTTGCCAAGCGAAGTCGATATTTCTTATGGCATCCATGATGTTATATTTTTTTAATGTAATAATGAGGTTTACTGTAATAATAATAATAATAATAATAACTCTCTTGTGTTCACCACCTGGTTGTGGTGGGAGAGCCCAGTAATTTTACTGATCCGTAGAGCAATGCAGGCTGGAGCACAAGCTCCTGGTAGGTACACCCATGTCAGTAAAGTCTATGAGGAGAAATGAAGCTGAGTGACCACACCCACTTTCTGTGGAGATATTTACCATGGTAGTAACCAAGTCTAACTGTGCTAGGATGTCACCCAGGTTAACAAGGGTTCGTATGTTAGGCAGAGGATAATGTTCAAAAAATAGGCCAGTCTCCTTTGGTTACTGGTGGTGAAAGCAGTACCAGCCTAAGCATGGCTACCTCAATGCCCTCAACAGATGTGAAGAACCAACCTAGCTTTGGTGTTTGTGGCAATGCATCCACAAAGGCTGGAAAACCATGCTAACAGATGAAATGGACAATGGAAATGAATGAGTTTATCACTTGTCATTGGTAAGGTTGGTAAGGTCATTGGTACTTACTACACCATAACAAATCTTGAAACAAACATGACAGCATACATACATACAACAACTACATCATAGATTCACACAATAATATCCTCACTTCACTGTTTCACTGTCACCGAACAAAGGGTTCTTAATCAAATACGAACAATTATACACAACCACAATTCCACAAACAATATTTGTTTTGTAATTTAGTATTTTAGTGTTTATTCAATTATATTGGATTTAAGACTTTTTGTTACAAACATACAAAATAATAATAATCATTTATTTATTTGTTATTTGTTGTTATCAACTGAATAAAGATGGGAAAAAACAAAGTGTTTAATTAATAACACAATTTGGTGTTCAACAGTCAATAATAATAATTTTTGTTTTTTAAAATGCCATGAAGTATTGATGTTATATGCTAGACTTTTTCACATCTAGTTTATTCTTCTATGTGCTAAGGGAGTTAGGTGCCATCCCTTATTAAATTTAATAATTATAATTAATGTAGTATTTATTTATTAATTCAGAAGGTTATTAATTTACATTAATATAACTATCGGGCTTACAGATTCATTACAGATACTTGTGATTATACTGTATTTTGATTATTTACTATTATTACTACATTACAGATACTACTGAGTGATTATACTGTATTTTGATTATTTTAATAATCAAAATACAGTATAATCACTCAGTATATATTGTTGCTTTACTATATGTGTTTTTGTTAATAAACGTTAATTGGTGATTAATCTTTATTTAGTAAAGGGATATTGAGAGTAGATAAACCTATTATTTTTATGAAGCATTCAAAAACACACTGAAAAATTTTCATGATAATAATAATAATAATTTAAAAGATGTTTAGAATTTTTAAAATCTTTAACTCATAAAATTTAAATATATCAACTTTATTTATTATAAAACTTTTATTTGTAAATGCATATTTATTTCATATTATATAGTTAACTGAAGCCGATCAGGAACTGTACAAAAATTTTCCAGTTGTAATATCAGAAAGGTGGCAGCAAGAAATAGCAGAAACTGTATTTGAAACAATTAATCAAGAAGCAGATAAAATTGAGCAGAAAAAACGTGCCAAGATGAAAATGAAGTTTGAGGATGAAAAAGGTAATACAGAATTATTAATATTGAAATTTAAAAAAAAAATGATATATTTGAAACTTTTATTTAAAAAAATAATGATAGCATCCTTTGAATTATGATATTAATAAACCATTATTGCAAGAAAAGTTGTTTTATGAGAGTGTATTAAGTAGGAATTAAACTTTCTTTGATGATTGTGAAAACAATGAAATAAAATGTTTAATGAAGCCAAATGTCATGCAAACAAACAAACAAAGACAATATTTAGATGGCCTTAACTTTCAGTGTAGCCTATAAAAAGGAAGGTTGAAGGGATAAGAGAAGAGTAAGGAATTAAGTAGAAGAAAGGAAAATTGGGTATAGGAAAGTTAAGAAAGGAAGATGTTCATGGTTGTTTGCAGGTATCAAAAAATGTAAAATAGTTGAATCAAAAACATAATAAAAAATATACAAACAAAACAACAATAATGCAAACATCACAAAGCAAAATTGGATATGACATTACAATGTAATTGTGCATACATTACTAGCAATGAAACATTTGGAGGTGTTTTCCCAGTCTAATGTATACACTTATGAATACATGCAAGTGTAGCTGGTGATATTTATAACAAGGTTAAAATACTTAATTCTGAGTTACCAGTGGAAATTGTGACATTTCAGTAAACATCTCCAACTGGTGTCCAATCTGAATTCGATCCTGAATAACTCTGGCAACAAACAAGATTGCCAATTGAAAAAGGGCAAGAGAGTGATCACAACTAACCAGTACATCATAGATACACAGTCTTTAAAAAGCCTATAACTCTCACACATGGCAGCTTTTTCCGTCAAGATGGTCTTTTTTTTATAAAAGTGATAGGAATCAGGAATACAGTGACAAACATTTTTCCTTCAGTGTAGTTCCTTAAATTGTATTTGTGGACAATAATATAATAGCTTTTAAATAATAATTAAAACGTTACAATGTTAATTTTGTTTATATGTTAAGTACTGTTATAACTTTTATAAGATATTGCAAAAACAGATTGAACCACTTTTTGATAGGTGCAACAAGTGTAATGATGATAAACAACTGGTGAATAGCAGTAGTTAGTTAGTTATTTGTTGGTATTTTATTTGTTTTTCTATGATTTTGTTCTCTATAATTTGATATATCTGAAAATAATGTTAAAATTACACATTGTTGTACAGTCAACTCATATTAATATGAATCACTAGGGGAAAAATAGTTAGTTCATTTTATTGAAAATTTGTATTAATGATTTTCATGGTCAAAGGTCAAGATTGTATAATTTGTGAAGTTAAGAATTAATAGACAATTGAAATTTCTAAATTATTTTTGAATTAATTTACTAAATGAAATTAAATAAAATTAAATTTATTTCCAAAAATAAATTAATGATCTATTAATTAATGATTTTCAAATCAATGTAAGGAGGAGATGGTACTCACTGTTTAAGTGTGGAGCAGTATATCAGAGTTTTTAAACAAAACAAAGCTAAAAGAAATATGTGGTTTTTTTCTGTTGAAGACTGTTTGATAAAATATAAAGTATAAAATATTTTTTGGTATCAAAAGAGTAAAAAAAGAAGCCAAATTTGATGCAAAGTAGCCAAACCTGGCATAACTTTATTCATTCCTGATGTGCATACTAGCACATGTTTGCATGGGACCACATCCATTTACAGAGGCAGATGTCCTTAAACTTCAGTCCTATTTTCTGAATACAGTAGAATGATCTGCTACAACCAGATGTTTGATTTGTTGTACATTTGGAGGTCAAACCTGTCTTTGTTTACTAGGAGAAAAAAATCTGTTCTATTCAAAATAGAACATTTATTACAGTATCAGGTTTCTTTTTACACTTTTCAATGTGAATAATAAACTCATTATTAAAAAAAGTAGGGTTATTTCTTGGGGATTGTGAAGGTTCAGTTTAACAAACACTTGTAAAATTTTTGTTCACTTTACTGCATGAGAAATAATGTTGTGACAATATAGTAGTGAATTCACTTTATCAGTGTTTGTTTTAATGTGAATTCACTGTAAATCAGGATAGCCAAACTTTATCGTAGGAGACATATACTACTGTGATGAGAAAATATCGGGAATTGTTTATTTAAACTGCATACATGCAAGATGGTACTGTTATCATGTTTTTGTCATTTGGTTTGACTTTCATCAACATCTAACAGCAATCTGTTCATCATCATTTGTTTTCATTTGCAAATAAATGCTTGTTTTGTGTATAAAGAATTTATGTACTGACAATTTTTCAAAATATCAAATGTAATTGAATGAAGAACTTGCATTAATATATCTGTTTTCTTTAATTTTAGAGTCTGATTGTATTATTCATGGCTATATTAAGAAATTGGGTGGGCCTTTTGCATCTGCTTGGCAAACTCGTTATGGAAAACTCTATCCAAACAGACTAGAACTTCACACAGAATCAAGCAGTAGTAAACCAGAAGTAAGTGACTTAGCTGTTATAAAATAGAATGTGTTTATTTTTTAATTTATTATTTAAATATCAAATTTCATTTATCAAAATTAACATTTTTATTTAACGACCAATTCTTACATACTATAATTACAGGTAACCCCCGTATAACACGGTAGTTACGTTCCAAAAAATTGCCATGTTATGCGAATCCGTGTTATACGAAACAAAGAACTAATACGAAAAGGAGGGTTAGGTTCCAAAAATTAAAAAAAATGCTAGTATATTTTCATAATTAAGATAAATATCTTCATTAAAATTTTTTTAAGTGATACATATCAATATAAATTAAACAATGTTTTGCAATGTTCTGCATTATCTTCAGATCCATGCTTTACCTTTTGCAAAATGTATGTAATTTTAGATTTCTTGCTTCTAGTTAAAAGGTCTTTATAAATTTCCTTATATGGTGCTAAGCACTTATGAAGAATAAAGCAAGTATGGAATGTTGTTGAATGGAAAGTGATGTTGCCGAAAAACATTCGGCAACATCAGAAGCAGAAGCGTCGCGATCTGGCAACATTGAAAGAAGTTTCGAGAAGGACCACGTGTATCGACAGAAGGCGAGAAGAGAAAATTTACATACTTAAGTACTAATAGTTCACGAAAATAATAATTTTCCTGAACTATTATTAGTTAAGTATGTAAAAATTTATTACATTTCCTGTTGTACAAGGGTTTTACCCAATTCTCGAACGGTGTCAGAGTGAATCCGTGCTATAGAAGTGCCGTGTTATACGGGGGTTACCTGTACGTGGTATGTGTAAATAACCCAACTGGAAATCACTATTGCAGATTGTACAACCAGACAGTGACACCTTTATGTTGTAGTTGGTGCATATGATTTTTTAAAATGTGCTAAAAGTTACTAAAATTAATGTTTAATATATAATATATAATTAATTTAATTATAATTATGAAATTAACAATTAAATTCAGTGAAGTTTCCATAATTGATCTAATTTTTGTACACTGGACATACACCCTATGTAAACAATAGGAAACCAACTTCTCTATATTGACCACCTCTGTAAGTTGTATTTTGACCCACCTGGGTAACTGTATTAATTTTTTTTTTTGATTCTGATGAAATCTGATGATTCTTATTCTCTAACTTGATTAGTTGAGTTCAGTCTGGACCAAGGACAAGAAAAATGAAATGCAGAATTTATAGTCAATTCAGAAAAGTCAATTCTTTAAACTCAGATAAACATGAGTGCAAGAATATATTTGCAAGAAATTATGGCAATTTTTTTCATTTATATTCATCCTTACATAATTAAAAATCATAAACAAATATTATTGATTCTCATATATACAGTAGAACCTCGATTATCCGGACTAATTGGGGATGAAGGTAGTCTGGATAAGAAAAAATCCGGATAATCGAAACAAATACTTTAATTTGTCTTTTAATGATAATACAACACGTTTTCTTTTCGATGACATATTGGTAATATTAAAAATAAATACTGTATTTAAATCGTGATCAAATTTTCAAGAAACAAACGTTCGTATTGAATTTGGACTACTACTGACAGACTACCTATTGTTTAAAAGGCCCTCTGGTGGCGCAAGAAGACGGATTTTATAAAATAAAAAGCAGTTGAAACTGCATTCTTATGAATAAAAATTTGACAAACTATTTCGTTTTATGACGAGTAAAATTTTTTCGTCGCGTTTACGGCTTTTAAGTAATGCATAAACCTTCGAGGCGCGAGGACCTTCGGACCGCGAGGCATAGGCGGTGGCCCACATCGTCCTTGCCTTATGCCGCCCTTGGTCATAGAAATGATGTAATTTGAATATAAATTATTTATAAATACGTATGTCAAGTTATATTTTTATTACTACGTAAAATATATTTAAGAGTTTACGGCCACTGTGCCGGGTGAGACGTTGTTGAAACAAAAAAAGTTATGCATTCCATCACGTACATAAACAGTGTCGTAATTCGCCAAGTGCAAATCAGCAAATTCGTAAAATTTTTGTTTATTTTGAACAATCCGGATAATCAAAAATTTGGATAATGGAGGTTCTACTGTATATCAATTTCTTAAACATCACTATTCATGTGCACACTTTGTTGTTATAATTTTACTATATGAATATTAGTTTTTATAAAGAACATATAGCATATATATTTATTATATAATAATAAACTAATAGATGTATATTACAACCACTTGTAAATTTGATTCACTTTAAGTTAAATGGCTAAATAAGATTATTTCTAGGAATTGAAAATATATCTTTATATAAATTATTTTAATAAAGACTAAGAAACTTTTTTATGTAGCTTATTTTTATGGATCAAATAGACGACGTGTGTTCTGATTATGTTCAAGTTAAAGGAGAACAATGCATTGTATTGAAAATGAAAGGAGAAAGAGAACGTGATGCAAAAGTTGTACTTACTAATCCAGTAAGTATATTTGGTTGAAATATTCTCTTTTTTGAATAAAATAATTAACAAAGTTTAATAAACTGTAATGTCTGTAATGCCAACTGCCTGAATATAAAGCAATTTGGCTATAATTTGGTGGTTTGTCTATTAACCGATGTTAAATAATTTAATAATTAGAAATAAATTTATTTTTAATTTAAATTTAGAATATTCTGGAAGAAAAGAATGTTTTATATATATCTTATGCAAGGGTTTATTACACTGAGTGACCAATATAACACATTTTAAAAATTCCTCATTCCTCTACTGTACTGTACTGATTTAAAGAATTTTTAAAATGTGTTAGATTGGGTGTGATATAACATAATATAAGCTTTGTATAAATCAAAAACTATAATATAATAGAAGGATTAGAAATACGAAATAATCTAACAGTTAATAGATGGCCAGCACAACTCTATTTTTAAAGGAAAAGTATGATGTACAGGAGCAAGCCACTAACAATTTGAGGTGGAGAGTGCACATTTTAAATTAAATAAATTTAAAATTGCAACCGGCATTGTGACAACGTCGCAATAAATAATTGCTTGTATATATGTGTATACATATTATTAAAATAAATATATTTATTATATATTAATATATATACATATATGGTATCTTTTCAAAATTGTACACAAATATGGTTTATCTGAAAGAAAATATCTCATCTCTCTTTAGATATCACAGAATAATACATATTAAAATACCAGAAACAATTGGCTATTACCAAAGCAATTGCAATAAAATGCAAGTATAATTTTTCTATTGCACACTAGCCAAAATGTTGTTGGGCTGCCAAATTCTTCCAGTTGACAATTTGAAAGTAGCATGACAATTTATAAAATATATATAATGTAGCTAAATTATTTTTATTTCATATCTTTTTTCAGGATGAGATTGGATTGAAAGAATGGTTGATATCATTGAAGTCCACACACAAAAATTCTCTAGAATTATTAGGAAGCATGGCAAAAAAGGCTGGTAAAATCTATGGCACAGAAACTAACAATAGGAATAACATTGTTAGCCGTAGTGCTAATGGAAATTGAACATCAGGTAAATACTTTGTTATAATGTTATAATTATCCAAATGCAACATATTCTCTATGTTGGGGTCTCCAATCTATGGCTCTCAAAGTATATTTATCCAGCCCATATAACTTATTTTCACAGACATGTTTTATTATTGACATTCAAACTAGTTCAAAGTGGATAAACTTTAATGGATATTGCTGGATCTTTAATGGATCTTAAAATTAATGGATTTTGCTGCAAATGATTTTTATAAAAAGCTGTTTGAAGAAGGGAGTTACAACACCAATTGGGAGACTGGAATAATATAGCAATATACATATTTATCAATGAACCTTAATTGAATTTTAGCACACTTTCATTTGAAATAAAACTTTTGGACTAATACTTTTAATCTACAAATGGAGATCATCTTCAAGTCTGTATATTTGATGATGGATTACTTTAATAGAGCAATGGCATTTTTTGAAAAATTAAATGTAATTCTCAAATACATTAAAAAAATAAATAAAAGTAAATACTGAGAAGACTAAAAACAACTATCTTACACTTGGATTGATTAACGATGACATAACATCATGACATAGGGACAATATAATGGAATGTTATCATTTATGTTTATGTAATTTTTTGTTTACTTTTTATTTTTATTTTTCGTACCTCGCTCTATTTACTTTTATTTTTATGTATTTGAGAATAATTTTAATTAATTTTTTTTTTAAAAAAATACCATTGTTCTATTTCAGCATTCCATCATCAAATATACTGACCTGAAGATCTCCAAATGTAGATCAGAAGTGTTAGTCTATTATTTATTATAATTTATTATTATTTATTATAAAGTTTTATTTAGAATTAAATCTTGCTAGAATTCAATTAAAGCTCTTTGATAGGTGTATTTGTTGAAGAATTCTGGTAGTGAAGTTTTTACAAATCTCCTCCAGAAAAAGATTTCAAAAGTCTTCAAGTTTCACAGGATATATTTTCTACTTTTGCTTCTACATATCTTTCTAACAAACCTTTTCAAAAATAAGATATATTATATATAAATAAGATAAAATTAAATCATTGTGTTACATCTAAAGAAAATTTTAATATTGGTTACCACAAAATTTATTCTCAGTTTTGATTACATCCTTCTGAAAAAGCAGTCACAACTTTCACATTGATTTATATTCATTGTTATTTGAAAATTTAAAAAATCTAAATCTTTGACTATATCTTTCACACTTGATCTTCAGACTTGTTTTCTACAGCATAGATGACCCTTTTTGGGAAAAGATTGGAGATCCTTGCTCTATGTGTACAATTAATAAAGTTTTATTTATTAAAAATCTTGATTTAAAAAGTAGATTATTAGGTCATAGCTGTCTGAAAAATTTTCTTGATGCAATTACAGTAGAGCCTCTATAATCCAACACTCTGCAGGGCAGCACACATGAAACTTTCCTGTTAACCACTTGTCAACATATGTGACAGAGCAAGACTAATGTAATTGCATATTGTCAGTTACTAGTTTGTTGCATGTGCAGTTGGCAAAACAGTCACAATTGTGATTAGTACAATAAACTAACATGCACCAAAGTGCATTTTTTTACTGTACAGTACAGTATATACAGTACATAATACAAAATCCAGTAATCTAACACCAGCTGGTCCAATATATATTAGATTACACAGACTCTACTATAGTTCCTAACAAAAATATTTAGTTTTAACTTAGACTGAAGCTTCCTTTTCTAAATATTTTTACTGGAAAGAATTTAGACCAAAGAAATTTACATTATTAACATATTTAGTTATATTTTTTTTGCTTCTAGTTATTATTTAAACTGTACTTAAATTCATTTTGTAATTTATAACAAAAACAAGTAAAACGGCGAAGCCATTCTTGGGACGAGACTATTTCTAGGAGAGCACGAACAATGCATGCACAAATCTCGCACTCCTGCCTGTTTGTAGAAACAGTCTCGGCATTTCGTATATTATTTTGACCCGGTTCTCGGTCTCCTGACTGTCTACAAGTCTGGTTTATTTTATGTGCTCATGATTTGGGCACCAAATACTCTGTGTCAAATTGCAACTTTTGACATGTACTCTTTCATACCTCTAAGGTGTGCAGCCGTTGACAGCAGCGCGATTTTAGAAACAAGTCATAGTCTCATCAATAATATTATTCTGACAGAAGTATTGAATCAGTGAAGCAAATTAATATTATTATTTTGTGTTTATGATTTTCTCTTTTTGCTCATAGTAATCTGCATTGAAAAGACTTAATATAGTCTGTCTAGTGTTGCCACCAGGCTGATTTTTACCCGGACAAGCCGGTTTTTAAATTCATGGTCAGGATTAATTATTAATTTGTCCGGTTTCCGTAGAAATTGTGAAATTATGATGAAACAAAATAAATTTATAAAAATATTTGCGAGTATTTTGCAAATATTAGGTTTGCTCCAACACAAGTCCCTAACTGGTTTAAGGAAAATAAACAGATATTTCAATTTTTTTAATACATACTTCTATTATTAGTAATTGTCATTATTAGAATAAGCATTATTAATGAATTATCGATATAGAGTCTATAGACTATACATTGCTCAACGCCTAATCTAAAATCACTTAGCAAGTTTTAAATCACATCTAAAGTCAATTCAATGTAATGAAATAACCAACGATCGCCCGAAAGATCGGGCTAGAATTTGGTTAATTAAATGATTATTATAAAGCAATTTAACACTAGAGGGAGGTGTTAGGCGACATCTCTTGATTCAATTAATAATTATAATTTTAATAATTTATTAAATAAATTTACAACCTTCTGGAATAAATTAAATTAATTAGCCATTAATTGAATTCATTTAATTAGCCAAATTCTAGCCCGATCTTTCAGGCGATCGTTGGTTATTTCATTATACATTCATCGGGCTATAAGATGTTTATTATATGTTAATTCAATGTTTGAAATAATGTTCTTGCATTGACAGTTACTACAATTGTCAATTGATTAACAAATATTATGAATAATCGTAGTAATTGTCGACGATCAAAACACATTCCGAGAAGATCCGTCTCTGACACCCACTTAGGTAATCTCACTTATCTTTGCTTTCGTTGCTTTCAGAACCATCAGGAAAAATCACTTGCTTTGATATTGATTGAAGTCACACGTCAAATCCGAGTTCGAAAAAAGAGCTTTCTCACTGGCAGACGAAAGAACCAAGAGACGTAATTCTTATTAAAGTTTATTAGGTTTTAACGTCACTTATCATTAAAATCGCGTATATCTCCAGAACAATTTAATAACCGAATTCACCGTTCGACGAAATTATTTCCTAAAGTTTATACCGTTATCTCAGAATTTGGTTTATGTCCATATCTTTGTCAAAAACAAATATCAAGAGAGTTGAAAAGTTACTTTCCAACAGAATAAGTGCATGCGTTTTCGGTCTCTCTCTTCGATCGATACGTCCGCTCTAACAAACAACAGCCATTGACTTAATATAAAAAGTCGAGTGCATTTAGTTTGTTCTCGTTAGCAAGTTTGCTGATTGGTAATTTATATTACAAAATGCTTTATTATAACATTTGGAGTAGTTTCTCGCTCATGACAGAGCCGGTAAGAGAGCGAAATTTAACTGACCAGAAAAGGTTTTACTCCAGTAAAAGGGTAAAGCAATTCGTGAATTGCCATATTTGTTTGATAATGTTTGCCATGACACTGCGAACATTCTAGCGTAATTCAACAGTTTCTAGGATAAAACACGCGCACGCGCACGCACACACACACTTCAGTAAATACGATACTTAGTTAAATTAGTAGAAGCCAGTATATATTTGTATTTTTGTATTCGAGTTTTATTTGGTTACTCGGTCGACAGACGACGATGTTACGTTTAAAACACAGCGTACGCGTAACGAGTTGTTGCGTAATCAGTTAAATTAAGTGTAGTGGAAAATAGCAAAATGTTAACAAAGATCCTCTGTTTTTATTTCAGGCAGGGAACAAAATTCAAACAGCGAGAGTGCAATTACTCGCCGACAGGCGAACCTTAAAGTGTCACCCGGGACCCGAAATCCCTTGGACGTGCAGCCGACAGAAAATCGGGATAAAGAGTACGCGACTTACATTCTCCTCCCTACGTTCGTCTACCATCCGAATTTTGTTATAAAGATTCCGCGGCCATCGACCGCATCCGTGCAGACTTTCGTTGTCGAGGCGGCGTTCGACAGGACAGAAGACGCGACGCGCCCACTCGCTCGGCCTCCCGTGTATAGTACTTTAATTTATTCCGTGTCTGTAATTGTGCGATCTGTCGATAACCGCGCCTAGATAGAGACAGAGAGGTCGACGCTGCCCCCTAGTTTCAGTGTTTAGCTTTGAGCTTCCCGACAGAGTCGCCTCCTCCGTCAAAGACGATTAGACACCTCTCTTCTAGTCCGTTCCTTCCCCGGCCGTTCTGCTGCCACCCGTACGGAAGGGAAGAGCGTTCCGACCCGTCGACAACCGGTAAAAGAAAAAAGTGGAAACACCGGGTGGCAGCGCAACTGACGAAGGATGCAATGGCGCCACTCTGCCTCCTCCTCCGTCTCCTCAAAATTTGTTACAAAAGGCAAAAAACTTCCCTGCGGGGTGGAGGAAGATTGGGCATTGCCCGTCTTGTCACGGGTAGAAGAGAGAGGTCGTACTTTACGCAGTCTTCAGGTGTCAAATGTTTTATTACAGGTAGAGGTTATTGTAAATCGTCATGTATAGTACATGTACTTAAACGTCGTTTTCACAGATGTGACTATTTAAAAAATGAATATGGTCTAACGAATCAGTGATGAAATAAACATCTTTTATTTAACTTTCGTCTTCCTCGCCTCTCATTTTTTTAGAAGAGGAAACGTGATTGCTCTAATTGAGACAACACTAATCTTTCCATTATTTATTTGTTTTAGAAGAAAATTTGCGTCCTTCGCGAGACTTTCCAAAAGGTAGGAGGGTTTGGATCGACCCGGTTAGATCAAGTGTGTTATCCTTGCTGCTGCAGCTGGCTGTATGGTGGAACGGTTAAGATGACAGCCTACCACTCTGGGAGACCGAGATCAAATCTGGACCGGTCGAAATACTTCAAGAATTTTTCGGGGTCGTCTGTCCAGATATGTCATGCCCCATTCTTCGTCATCCAGTCGTTCCATTGTGGGCCTGGCCAAACCCATAATAAGATTGATACAGAGACTTTTCTAGTGCCCATAGGGCATAAAGAGTAAAAATACAAGCAATTATTTATTGTGACACGTCGTCACAATGCTGTGCTGAACTTTTAATCATCATTTAATTTTTAAAAAATCACGTGACTTTTAGTCTAAAACTCATAAATAGTTAGTGGGACCTCCTGCTCCTAATCTTCCTCTCTCTGGCCGCGGACGACAGTGGAAATGTATAAGTCTGCAATTTAAAAATTGCAGCCCAAAATAAAAATGCTTCGGTGCAAAACTATTTATTGGGCCCCGCAAAGTTTATAGTTATACAAAATTATAGAATACGAATATTTGTATGAGTTATTTAAAACTTTTATTTTATCTTGCCAAGGTGTAAATTGACAAAGCCCGACTTTACACCCTTACCTAGCAAGATGTACCACCAACGTTGGTTGCAGATCTTGCAACCCCGGTAATTTTTCTGATATTTATCAGAGGAGAGGTGATTATAATTTTCAATTAATTTATTCGTATTAAATCAGTAAATTGTATCCTTTAATTGTGTTCGTTTAAACCAATACTATCGGAAGCAGTGGTCTAACAATTTCTGGGGGAAATAAGTTTTAAAGTAATACAGCATTATGGAATGTTCATTATTATAATAATGATTATTGGATTGTGTGACTTATGACAGCCGATAGACGACACCCATAGACTCTATGGTAGTCGGTCTTAGGATTATAGCGCCTCGCCGGTAACGGGCGGAAGCAGGCTATTCTATATTCACTTCCTTCGAAATTACAATTCGATTAATTTTTAAACACATTAATTTCGGCCAGGATTCACAAACACTCAGTATCGTAACTTAGGACGAAATTCATCGTAAGTTGCCAGATGCAAGAAGTCTCATATTCGCAAAGTGCCCGTACGCTACGATATCGTAAAAGTCTAGTACTCACGTAAGTCTGGGTACTGGTGGTCGAGTATTTGGTTCTATCGATAGATAATCGATTCGAGCGTTTTTTCTGATTATTTCTTCTAAACTTTCTGATTCAAAACTTCTATGTTATCAAATGACGAAAAAAAGTAACTACTGTAATTCCTATCCATTTTAATTCTAAAGAAATAAAATGCTACCTTTCCTCAGACCACAAATTAAATACCACGTGCAGCGAGAAAATTCTTAAAGAAACGTCTTTCTATTGGCTGTATTAAAACGGAAGCGGTCCCTAGTGGTGACGCTAGGAATCACTCTCTCCTCCTTGCAGGTCTCTTTTAGCAAGCCCATTACGAGTTCAGGCAGGTTCACAATGGGGCAGCTGGGTGGTGAGGGATGGGATCCGACATATCCGGACAGACTTCCCCCCGAAAAATTTGTGGAGATTTTTCCATCTGTGTGGATTCGATCCTGGGGCCCCAGAGCGGTAGGCTGCCACCTTGACCGCTCGGCCTTTTGGGCGTTCCCTAACGATGCCATAAGACACACTCGTTACCAGTTCCTTCTGTTTTATCTAAGGCACATTTCTGGGAACGGTTTTTTCGCGACAGGAGAGCCGGAAAGGCACGCGGACGTCGGCGAGACCCGGAAATGACACAGTGTGGTAAAGCCCGGTTAAGACGTTTCCGCATTTCGCGTTGGAATTCTGCTGTCCCTAGGTACGATTCCGGTATCGACGGTTAAACCGTTTACCGATTTTCTCGCCCTTTTAACGTTCGGAAATGGACTCTGTGGCCGACAAATTTCGGCCATAAACTGTTGTCGATTGGAATTGGAAAACTTTTCCTTCTAGAAATATGAAGTGTGTCGCCGTTATCGATTACAAAGAAACGGGTCGGTTGACTTAATGGTTTTTTAAAAACGTCACAAATAGGCGGTCTCCGATGCGTCTGTATTTTCCCACCGAGTTGTGCACCCTCTTATCGCCTAGTAGGTAAAGTGGGAAATTTCCATCAGAGACACCTGTTAACAAAGGAAAATTATTCGTTACTGGTGCGAAAGTCATATACAATCACCAATCTTAGATGTAAATGGGTAAACACTTAATAAATAGCGGTGGAGAACGTAGAAAATTAATCTTTTTGTCAAATACGCTGTTGATCGGACTTCCCCCACACGCATGCAATTCCCATCGTCTATTTGTGACATCCAAAAGTGCTTTTGATCGATTAAAATATATAAATATATCTGCCGCCATAAACATTAAGAGTAAAAAGAAGTCGCAGATATGCTTTCGTCGACTCCCAGGCTGCGCATTCTGCACTGGCCTAATTTGAATGCGCTACGCACCCGGCTACATCGAATAGAAATGTATTTATTGCGCGTGGCAAGTTCGATATCGTCGTCGTCGTTACAAGAGATCTTCGCGTGCAACGTCCTCCTCTGCAATTCCGATTGGTGGTGGACTTACCCTCAAAAATGCCACGTTGGAAATTAGCACCGTTTCGGTTGTGGTTCAGGTATTAATCTCGGACATAGTTATAGGTAATCGGTAAGATTCGTGCTTTACCGAAGCACGAACTCTACCAATTACTAACAGCTATGAACGAGTTGTTTACAAAAATGTTCCATTAGTCTTATAATTCTCTTATTATGTTCTAACTTTTTGCCAGTGTTATTGGTGTCTTCCACAGATCGGCATTGAACGGATGATGCACGAGTTGCCGACTTTTTAGATGTGGGCTGTTTGCAATTCCCTCATTTTACCGTAAGTATACAGTGTATATAGCCTATATATTATATACAGGGTTGGCACGAATATTACGCCGTGTTTTTCCTAGAATCTTAATGTTAGAAGCTTTGCGCTAAGAACAAGAAGCAGGCCACTCTGGATCGGTACTTTAAAAAGTTGTAGATATTACACATCATTGTATCTCTTCTGTAATAAAATACAGTATGTGGATTTAAAAAAAAATTTTTTTTGCCTTTTCCGCTTAAGGCATTTTCCCAAGTAGGTCCTTCCAAAATGTTTTAACGGGGTTCTAATGTGTAATACGATGATTGTGATAATACTCCTCACGGTTGTCATAAACTGATTATCTTCAAGAAAGAATAGGACGGTTTGAAGTACGAAATGACTTACGCTGGTTAATATGAAAGAAACGCAGAATTGGGAAAACGTTGAAAGGAGCCTACCGCGAGTCGTATCCAAAATTTCCAATCTGGCTGTCGATGAAAACGAGTTATTCGATGAGATTACTTACATTTCCGAGAGTGCTTCTGCAGAAAAGATTTGCATATGGAACGCCAAGAAGTCGACTGTTGCGGATCAATGGATAGAAAGACTCGGATCTTTCGCTGCAAATCGCGTGCCATATGAACAAGTTTTACAGCTCGTCGAGTTTGTCCTTTGTCACCCGAGAACTAATGCTACAAATTAAAGAGTGCTTTCTGCAATGAATGTTAATGTGGACAACCGAGAAAACACTGCTTGAAGTCGAAACATTAAAAGGCATACTGGTGGTCGAGCATAAGTTTGGTGACGAGTCCTGCGGGAAAGTTTACGAGACACTGCTGAAGAAATCATCTGTGTTACGAGCAGGATTTCTACCCACCCGGAAGGGCAGGAAAATCAAGATTATCATGTGTTTAGAAATAGTCGGGAAAAGTCAGCAAATGTACCTGCTTTGTTGATTTTTTAAAGTAAGATTCAAACCTAACACTTTTATTGTAAAAAAGCCGTATTAATTATGCATTATTGTGAATTTTAAAGAAAAATCTGTAATACTTTTAATAATCTAACATTGATAAAAAAAATTTTTTTGAAATATTTGAACTTTCCTAATCTCTCGCAATTATCATTTAAGCACTCGGTTTGAGGGTTGGATGTTAATTAACTGATTAAAAAACATGATAACAAATTGCAAAAATGATAAATAATACCATTTAAATTAAAATTATTTATCATTCTTTAATTTAATAATTTTGATTGCATAACAAAACAATTTCTGATTTTTCTCTACTTTATTAATATTTTATAAAGTTCGAGAAGTTTATAAAGGGATACATTTGTACATTGATTATACGTGAATTTTTAATGAATTATAATCAAATGGCTTTTTTTTCTTAGCTTTATGGTTGTGGATTAATAACTGGATAAACTAATTAGACTCCAGTTTGAAAAAATCGTAGACAAAATTCCAACTGTCGTCCGTCCGTCTTTTCTTAATCTCGAAAACAGAGTCAGACGAAATCCAAGATTAGATACGGAAACCTTAGGACAAGATGTCTCGATTAACTAACTATATATCAATTCAAAATACATACCTCTCAATTCAAAGCTCCCCCCTCGAAAGCAGTTAATAGATGAGTGGCTCAACTATTATCTTAAAAGTATGATGTACGAGTCTCTACTAATTTCGGGTGGAAAGAATATATTTTAAATTAAATAAATTAATAATAATAATAGAAATTTCGGCCGGGCATTGCGCCACGTCACAATCACTAATTTCTCGTTTAATAAAACATTTTAAGTTCAATGATTCGGTGATGGTAAAAAAATATGTAAATGTTAATTAGAAAAACTAATTAAAAACTTTGAAATGCAATAGCGTATGTGAGTAAATTGTCTGTTACGTTAGTTTCTCGCCTGTCGGACTTCTTCCCTGTATTGCCCAATTGGGAGTTTGCCGGCTTCGATAACGCCCTTTCCGACAAATGGAATTTTATCCGGGCCGGCGGGCCTGTCATACAGTGCGTAGTGTGGGAGGTAAAGTCCCTCGTCTCCCTTCGTTTAATTTCTGTGGCCGTGCTCGGTTTTTGTTTTTCGGACATTGGACCGCCAGCGTCGTTGGCCGGTCGGTATTTATTCTCGAAGTACTCGGGACGACTTTAATTAAATATATCGTCGGAAAACGTAACACTTTCGACCAGCCCAGACGAATAAGTATGGGAAAAAGCACGGTCGATGCCCGGCTACTTTTTCCCGTTTGCTATTAAATTTTTGGCAAACTTAGGTAAACTTTAGAAAGTACTTTTAGGTCGAACGAAAATTACTCACCTTTTCGAAAGACTTCTTCGAGTCGTCGATAACTAATTTAGAAAAAATACCAGCACCGGTATTAAGGAGAATGTGTATAAATTACGATTCGGACATGGGATAGGGGTACATTCGCTACCCCTTGAAGTTTTGAGGAAACGTAACTCCGTTCCCGGATGCCACGGACGGTCTCCTATCGATATATAAAATAAACCAACACCCGGTTAAGTAAAAAATTGAATTTTTTTACCCGGTTTGCCAGATTTACGCGGACGGGAGATTCCGGCGGGTTAGTTTCCGTGGGTCGCCTGACAGTTTATTTATTTCGGTTCTTAATACAAAAATTTTTATTTTAAAAATATCTCGTAAAAGGCTGGAGTTACGCGACTCGTTGCTTGCTTTTTTAAATATATTTACGCCGTGAAATTTGCACGAAACTTAGGTAAAGTCAAAAATGTGGTCGATGCGATTCCGTAAGGTAAATAAAATGAATATTAAAAATTTGGATGTAAATTTTTATAACATCCAACACCGAGCCGAGTATTGATTAAGTTAAAAATAATGATTAAAAGAAATAAAAAAAAAAAACTTAAGTAAAACAGAGGGAAAAATTAAACTTCAACTTCAAGAACAGTTAACTCCAGACAAAAGTATTAGTAAATTATAACCGAAACGGCCATGTTCAAAACTAAATAATAATTAAAAGTAATAAAAATAAGTAAAATAAGAGTGTAATTATACGAATGTATTGTTTCGAAACGTTACACAATGAAATTGTTTAAAATTTAACTTTTATTGACACCGAGGATGACGACAGTTTTAGTCTGCGGGAACCCCCAACACAATACTTCCGTCTCTTCAACGGAGAATATTTTGGGTGTCCGCGCTAATATTGCCGTAAGCGCCTTCGCAACACAAACTGGAGTTTGTGGCCCCCGCGATAATTATCTAGTATTATGATAAAAATTAAAAACGAAATTGGTGCAAATGTCTCTCTAATGGAAATAGAATCATTTTGGCAGTCAAAGATCTGTCATAAAGGACCGAGGAGGGGCAGAAGGTCCGAAATGCATTTCCTGTCGGAATAGTCAATTACTGACGTATTCCTTGTGTGATTTATTCTCTCCGGCAAAATTTATGCTTATATTTAAAAAAAAAAAAAAAAAAAACACTTCCGGACATGGAAAAGTCTATAGAAATGAAACGGGTCACTTTTTCAAATAGAATTAACCCGCAATTTCGAGAGAAATTATATTTTATGTGAACGTGATTTAATTAATAACACATTACAGAAGATATTTTCTAAAATTTCAAATCAATTTGCGCTTACGTCGCATACAGACGCTCCGCATTCCTCACATATAGACTAGTTACAATTTTGGCACAACGTTTCGGTTCTTCTGTCGTTTGATCCGAAATAAAATGCAGAGGAAAACCTCTTCTTTGTAAGTAATTTGTTGTCGAACAGGTTTGTTTTTTCGGGAAAGTGGTGTCTACAATTGTATTGCGTAAACGCAGTATTGTCACCTGTAGATGATTCTTCAAAACCTTTCGTGTTATTGCTATTATCGGCTATTGTAAAAACTTTAAACGGGAGAATATAGTAGACCCCCTATAAAACGGGTTCCTATAATTACGATTCCTATAAAACTGCGAAAAAATTGCGATGGTATCCGTGAAAAACTCCTATAATTACGTAAAACGTCATCAGGCAACCAAACTATTTTCCGCCGTCAAGCGCCACGCTACGGACAGATTACTATCATCTGTACAGTATCATATATAAATTATATATAAATTAGGTACTGTACATATAATTATATATTAATTATATATAAATTAGATACTGTATATATAATTATATATTAACTTAATTTATTGTAACTTTGTTATAATTATACAGTATATATTTTTTCCGCCGCGTAGCGCCACGCTACGGAGAGTTTAGGCTAACTATCGTCTGTACAGTATGTAAATTAGGTACCGTAAGTCTAATACAGTACTGTCATTTTATACATTTCTTGTGAAAGAAACATTTCTTATTCAACGGCGATTAAAATTATTTATATATTAATGATGTTTCCAAAGTTCAACGAAATTTTCGCAGAAAAATAAATTATTAGAAATCGGCCGCTGTTTGCTGAGCTGTTCCGCGACGAAAACAAGCTTGAGCAATGGCGATGTCGAATGGTGCACACTCGGTAAGTAATCCTACAATTTTTTGTTTATAGCGTAGTTTATAAGGATTATTTCCAAAAAAATATATACGTATTTTGAAAATGTTGAGTCGGATTAGTCTAGAATCGATTAATTTTATGGAAGAAAACCTTTCAATCAGCCATAGTCTGTAAACTTCACACGTGTCGGGCTGTGATTGGAAGGACTCGTAAGAAATCGGATTCCTAAAGAATGGAACGTATCTATGATCTTATAGGGGGGTCGACTGTAATCATATTGACAACTATGTTTATAAAAAAACTAACGTGTGCATTATGTACAATACAAAACATAGCTGTATTTTCTATTATAAGTGGAAAATACAAACACGTAAATATATCTTAATTTCCTGTGGGATCTTACAGACCCACAAAAAATTAAAATAAATGTATTTACTAAACATTGAAAATGCGCAATCGCTAAAGCAACAGAATGTTCTTTACGAATAAACCGAATTCATTGTGAATTTAATATACAACAGACATTGGGAGCCATTTTAATTTTGATTGGAGTCTGTGAGGCCTTTTGTGTTGCGAAGGTTAAACTGACCGAGGATTAAGACACGGAAACCATATATAAATATAAAACTCGATTTACCTATTGTCTTCGGTGACCCGAAGCCTATTTCGCGAGACTGACGTTGGATATCCGCTTACAAAATGTATGGCTGCCGGACACGGGATACTCGCCAAGACGGGACAAAATCTTGGCATTATCCGGCAGTAGACGTGCTGGATGTACAGTACGGAAGTCATAGCGATATTTCACACAATACGACAGCATCGAGCACAACCCGTCTCGATGTTTACACCGGCATTAGGTGAATAAATGTGAAAGTAACAGATGGGCCGGCTATTCGACGACCGAGTATATGTGAAAAAAGCTTTGCGAGTAGAACAGAAGCAGATATTTTCACCTTTCCATTTCCGGAAGTGAAGAAAATAAGGGTCGAATGAGTTCCATTATTTTCCACTGCCAACCGGTAGTCCGGATGCCAAACTGCTAGAAGACGGAAGTCTAGCGTAAGTGTGCGACACTGTCGAGAGAAAAGGCATTGGCGGCTACTTTTCCTTCCAAGATGGCAGCTAGAGCCACGTTTCCTCTGTCGGAGGCCACACGTACCGGATCTATTCCCGAGTAGTCGGTTTTGCGTGGACAGGCACCGAACTTCTTCAATAGGCAGACGGCATCGTCGTTCCCTTTCATCACAGAATGCATCAGCGCCGTTCTTCCACTCTTCCCGTCCTGAAAAATTCATCCCGCGTTAGTGTCACCATCAACGATTAGACAGATGATTTTTCTTACGATTTGTGAAACGTCCGTAGAGTTTGCATTTTTCTTTTGTAATGAGAAACTGCTATACCATTTTGCATACTTCACGCCACCTACGACGGCAGTGTTAGTATCCAAGATGGTTCCGCTTTGAAAAAATTTTTTTGTCTCCGTTGACTATCAGTATTTCGAAACAAGTAACTGACAGTTAGATACTCATTCAATGCCAAAAACAAAAATAATTTGAGCAGCGTAACCGACTGAATTATTACATAAAGTGAATTTTATGCGATCGATTCGGTCCGTTATATTGTTAAATCAATACTTTGACCGAGAGTGAAAACAATTACCTGTACTCTAATGCGTTAATGTATTTCACTTATACGCCATATCGCTATTCATTTAAATATTAAAGTCGATAGACGTGCTTACCGCGCAAAGTATCGGGAATGGCCCAATGGTAATTCGGACATCGAAGTATTGGATTTTCTCAACTTCCGACCGTTTACCAAACATTTTTCTTATCCGATTTCTTCGCTTTTGCGCTTTTTTATTTGCCGTAAGATAGTAAGCAAACTTACAAACTTTAATGAAACTTACAAACCGCCCCATTCGGCGCCATTTTCCATTACCGACGGTAGCCGTTTATAACGAGCGTCTAGACAAGGGATGACGAACCTATTTCTATTTATCATCTCTTTTTTCAATCGTCCTTTCGGTTTATCACTTTATCATCCTTTTTTTCACTCGTCATTTTTACATATATTCTTAATATAATATCACATTCGTTTAATTTCTTTAAATATCGAAGTCTGAAACTTTGGCACGCATAAATATCTTTAAAGCCAAGTATGCTTACGTACGACACGCTGGCTCGAGAAAGTTCGCCATCCCTGATCAAGATCCTGATCGAGCATTAGTTCTAAATTTAAATTACGCCGCGGAAGTCGTTTCGCGGTATATTCTGGTCAGTTACAAATTACGAATGCTTTATTTGTAATTACTGTTAATTAAAAATAAAAATAAGTTAAATTTTTGGACAGAAACCTTTCTCATAAATGAATAATTTCTATTTAAAAAATGATAATGCTTAGAACGGATATTTAAAAAATGATAATGTTTAACTACCCTTTTATCTGTTGGAAAACACTAATCCAGTTAAGTTATCAATCGTCACATATCGTCATACATATTATTAAACGTGCCGTATTGTTGGAATTAAGCTTACGGTACCGAGAAACCGTAAAGTTTTCCCGCATTATTCATTCATCCGACAAGAACAGCAGTAACGAAAAGAAACTTAAAGCGGTTACGACGACAGCGCCTATGGTAATGAAAGTTCAAAGGTGGTGTTTACGAAGGAGATTTGCGGGCCACTTTAAAGGGAGAGAAGATATTCGGTATTCTGGCATTTACGATCTTAACTGCTTTGAGGTGGCTCGGGTGTAATCTTTTTATAAATCTATGAAATAAAGTAAAGATGTTGGAAAAATTACAGTACTCGTCAACTACAAAGCGGACAAATCCCTACAAGGAATTTTATTAATCGCTTAGATCGTAAATGATATTATAAATGCGAGAATATCGAACACCTTTCCCACTCCCGAAAGTGGCTAGCAAATCGCCTCGGTAACTCGACATTCGAACTCTGCCTAAACCCACCTTCGTCCACCCTTTCGATCGTAACAAGTTTCGTTTTTCTTCGTCGTTTTTGCCGAATTAATAATTAATCGACGTACAAATACTGTATTTACGTTTCGTCGTGATTATTACGTGACATTCGAACTGCCACGTCCGATCCGTTTGCTATTTAGAATTTAATTAAAATGATATTTTTACAGCCGAAAAGATAATATACTGTATATATATCCGTAATTGAATTATATATGCTACGTATACCGTCTACGATAGAACAATATGTACCGATATCGGAGACATCGATATTAAAAACTTTTTTGTGATACGTAGGTAAACACGACCCGCTGTTAAATACTTTAATATTTCTCTCACTGCCGTCGTCGTTTTTTACCTGTCGTTTTACCTTAATCCGTCCGTTTGAACATTGTCTACGACTGTATTTTAAACGGTTACATTCGTTACGTTCCGTTTTATTTAACGTATAAACAATGACGAACGCGCTAGTTTTTCTCTTCGAATCGGGCGAAAAAGCCGACGTTGCGGAATAAATTGACATTAAGAGCCTGTACACACTAGGCGTTTTTCAACGCGCGTTTAACGCCGAGCTAACGCGCGGTAGCTCGGCGTTCGACGAGCGTTAGTTCGGCGTTAGCACTGGCTTAGTTTGAAAATGGACGTGAAAGTAATTGATTGTGTGTGCCTCCTCCATCGTCGCTATAAGGCAGCACATATATCTCAAAGTGCCCGCAAAACGCGCGTTTTAACAAAAATCTATAAACGCGCGTTTAATGCGCGCTTGGCGTTTGAGTGTGTACGCCTACATAGAACTCTTGGTTCTTTAAAACGCGCGTTTAACGCGCGTTGAAAAACGCCTAGTGTGTACAGGGCCTTAGAGTCGCCGGCGGTTAAAGGCTGTTTCACACTAGCGAGAAATTGCGGCCGACGTTTACAACGCGAAAACNATAATAAAGTTGTGATTGTTGCAAGGAACATTTTTTACCTAATAATTTTTTAATACTATTAGTTTGTGATACATAATATATTATTTTTTCTGCCATAATAACTAACTTTTTTCTGTACCCCTAAACAACCTATCGCGTACCCCTAGGGGTACGCGTACCACAGGTTGGGAATCGCTGGCTTAGATCGTAAATGATATTCTAAGTGCGAGAATATCGAACACCTTTCCCACTCCCGAAAGTGGCTAGCGAATCGCCTCGATAACTCGACATTCGAACTCTGCCTAAACCCACCTTCGTCCACCCTTCCGTTCGTAACAAGTTCCGTTTTTCTTCGTCGTGATTATTACGTGACATTCGAACTACCCTGTCCGATCCGTTTGCTATTTAGAATTTAATTAAAATGAGATTTTTACTGTATATATAGCCCGTATTTTAATTATGTATGCTACGTATACCTTCTCCGATAAAACAATACATACCGATGTTGGAGTCATCGCTAAGAAACTGTTCTTTTTTGTGATACGTAGGTAAACACGACCCGCTGTTAAATATTTTAATATTTTTTCTGACTGCCGTCAACGTCCTTTATTTGTTCGCTTGTCTCAATACGCTCGTTTGAACTTTATCTTCGACTATATCTTAAACTAAACTCGCTTAGTTTCGTTTTATTTAACGTATAACGAGTTCCTCGATGGATAAACAATGAGGAACGCGCTGGTTTTTCTCTTCGGATCGGGCGAAAAAGCCGACGTGGCGTATGCGCCACGGTGCGGAATAAATTGACATTAATGCTCGCAGGGAGTTTAGACGTTTACGGCTGCAGATGGCGCGCGTTTCAATTGTAGAGTAATTTTCTCAAGCAAGTACGTGCCAGGCGGAAAGAAGAGGGAACGGCAATTTTTAGCGTACCTTTTCCGCACGCGAGTACCGTGACTACCAGGATTTAGGCGAAACTGAAAGGACGGCGCAACGTCTGGGCCATACCGAGGTGAGGGAGAACCCCCGGTCGAGATCGTGCGGCTTTCGCCCGATCGACCACGACGCGCGTGCTCTTACGTCCTCACCGAGAGAAAGGAGCAGTTACAACTAGGAGCCGTTACAACAAAGCTTCTTAGAGCGATTTCACACTTCGACCGGCCAGCCCACCGAACGGTAGACGGTGGAAAAGGAACCCGACACCGAAAATAGCGGAGGTAAAAGTGACAGGCGCGTTCGATCGGTGCTCGTACTAGTGACGTAAGTCCAACTAATTATGTTTTAATATCTTACCGGTGTCGAGAATCTTCGCACGACGCGATAACGACTTAGGAATATTTCTCAAAATTTTCATACTTTAGTAAATAACGTAAGACGAGACCAGATACGGAAACCTTAAGAGGGCGAGAGGTCCCGATTAACTATATACGAACTTCCCGCGCAAACCGGAAGTCACGTTACTTCCATTCAAAAATTTTCTCCCTAAAGACGATAGATAAGACGACCGGCACGACTCTATTGTTAAAGGAAAAGTACGACGCGCAGGAGCGAGCCACTACTAATTCGAGGTAGAGAGCGTTTATTTTAAATGAAATAAATAGAAAATACGATTAAAACTCGCAGCCCGGCAGGGTGACGGTTTGCGTTCGGTGGTGCGACTCCGAGAATATCGCCAAAGCCGAAAATCCAAGGTTTAGTTTTTAATGCATTTGTACCAAGGGGAAAGTGTTCGTTTAAACATTGGATTTTACACGCCTAACACCGTCGGACTTTTGCGCGTTTCGGTCGTGGGCTAAAATCGTCGGCTGCCGGGAAAACGGGGACGGACGGAGAAAGCAAAACCGGAAAAGAAACTCACCCCGGCGTCCACGTCGCATCCGGCCGCCACCAGCATTCGAAGGGCGGGGAGGTTGTCCCGGAAGACGGCCTCGTGCAGAGGGGTGTAACCTGCAAAAGTCAAGAAACGTCCAGCTTAACGGACAGTGTTGAACCATGGCCCGGTTCTCAATAAAGAAGCGTTCCCGGCGTAGGGCCGGGAACGCGCCTTTCCGAAATCCGATAAAACCGGCGCGTGGGTAAAGGATCCGACGGAGGGACATTTCCCCTTCCCGGCCATTTAGTTTCGGCTCCGGCGGGCCACTATTCTCGGACACGTTTGTTATTTCTCGGGCGCGCGGGGGATCCGTACACCGTCGTACGGACAATTAAAGGGGAAGGAGTGGGTCCAGAGCGCACGATGGTAGACGACGGCGTAAGTAACTGACGGTGCCGGTCCGCACCGGCGCGCCGCCGTAACGGAAGAGCTTTTAGGTTCCATAGATTTAAATAAAAGTAATAAAGGTAAAGGTGGTGGTCGAAATATAAGCGGGTTGCCGCCGCGGGCGTACGTCCACCCTAATTCGGCCACTGGTTCTTCGGGATTACTTTCCGCGGCTGCCGTGGTAACCGGAGAGAAAGACCGAGGACTTACCGTCGTAGTTGCGGGCGTCCAGAATCCGTCGGCAGTCAGGGTGGTCCAGCAGGAGGCGCAGGCACGGGCGGTCGAAGTGTCTGACGGCCAGGTGCAGGGCGGTGTTGCCGCCGCGGTCTCGAGGAGGGAGAGAGGCTCCTTCTTGCAGCAGAACGGACGCCGGACCCACCTTCTTGGCCAAAACGGCCAGATGCAGCGGCGTCTGTAAATTGTTCGATGGCTTTTACTCCCTTTCCGTTTTTATGTCGCTCTTAAAATTAAACCCGCCTGGACAGCGTTAAATCTACTTTCTACCCATTTCTTCCGGTAAAATCTCGGATTTTCTCTGCCGTCCGAGAGCGCTTTTTTTAAACCCTCCCTTCTCGTATTCTTATGCGAAAATTTGTCACCCTTTCCCGGTCCTCTCCCCCTTCCGTTCGGAGTTTCCTTGGCCGTGCTAAAATCTCGCTGGGGCAAGTTCTTTCGAAGTCAATGAAGTATTAGGGGGTGCAGTCCCCGTACGTCTTGCGGATGCGGAGAGCGGCAATCGTCTGCACAGATAACAATTTACGTCTGTTGTGTACTTTGGCGGTCACTTGGTTCCGGACCCGTACGTACAGTACAATGTAGCGTCACTAACTTTCGTTCGTATCCCGCAGCTAAACCCTCGTGGTCTCTATCCGATGGCGCGGGCAACACGGGTTTCCTCGTTCGCATTGTATAGTTCCAGTTAAGGTTAACTGTCGGCTAGATCTTTTGTTTCGTCTCTTGTTTCTTTGTAATTATCGGGTTCTGTTTTGTCTATCGTTCATTGCTCTTCGCGTTGTCTTTAATCTTATATATAATAAAATAAATAAAAATTAAAAAGAAAATTGGCGTCTTGCTCATAAATCTTTTCTCGTCGTATATTTAGTCTGTCCGGGTTGTCGTCTTTGTCGGCATTCCTATTTAGTTATAAGTTAGTATAACTAGTTTTAAGTTATTAATAAGGTGGATTTAATATAGCTGTAAGTTCATTTTACTTTAGTTATCGGTATATTGGCTGTTTCTCCTAGTTGTTTCAGTTAGTTATGACGCTTCTTATAGAGCTTGCAAGCTTAGTTTCTGTATTATTTCGGTATTAGTTCGAAGCCTTTACTTTAGTTTTAACTTTTAAGCATTAAACTTATACGCGTAGGCTATTTGCTTATATATTCGTGGTGGAAGCTATCCCCTATTCGACAATACGGCACTTCCATTGGGAATATACGTATACGAATTTATATTCGAGTATACAATAGCAATCTTATCGTTGTTTTTCACACGTAGTATAAAAATTTGTAATAAGATACATAATGCGGTTATAATAAAATATTAATTTTAAGTAATTCAAAGTACGTTCAAATATGAAAATAATCGTACAATATGTATTTATATTTTAGAAAATACAAGGGAAGCTGTGTACGGCACTCCACTTATTGGTGTATGCTACAATTCTATTAGACCCACGACTCGGTAGCCTAAAAACTGCACGCCAACATTAATCGCAGAGAGAATCTTACGATTAATGTTGGCGTGCCTTTCTTTCTCTTCTATCTCCTCGCCCTCCTTCTTCCCTTTCCCTCTTTCCTCTCTTCCGATGGCTAAACACTTTGTGTACGGCCGTTGTGTATAGTATGGCTTAACAAATACTATAATGTATTTGTTAAGCCATACTATAATGTTATAACTAAATGCCATACAATAATGTTAACAACCACATGTTATATTGTATTGTAATATACTATAATGTAATCCAATTCAATCATAATCGATACAATTATTGAGTAATGTTAATTAGATGTAATGCATGTATAGAATTCCTATTATTGTAAAAATTACACTTAAGAGTGAAGGTAATATCTGAAGAAGATAATTTATGAAATTAACACATCTCTGGTGTTATCGTACCTAGACATAGAATAACTTTTGTAAGTGTGCACAACATAATTATTTTTCACTGTACATGCGTTTATTATTTGTATACGCATAAATTGTTTATATATGTACAAAAATTTATTTCACATTTATGTACAAATATGTACAAAAAACTTATTCCATACTTATGTATATAACTCATATAATTGATATTACCCGGTAATGTATTACGGCACCGGGATATGTCTGGTGACACATTACAATAAAATAACTGGTAACTGGTAACTGGTGACTGGCCGTTTCGTTAAATAAATTAATATCGATATCTTCGGAGAACCGTAACGCGCTAAAATTTATTCACAACTTTCGCATCATTGATAAATTTTGAAAATAACTTTTATACCGCTACGAAATTAATAGGTTTGTATATTTTAACACACGTCCATTGCCCTTTCGATATGCCACGCGCCCGGCGTGGGCCTAAAAATGACACGCGAGTCAGCCTGGATTCTAGCAGCCGTAGGTATTATTATTCTCGTTAGAGTAATTTCGGATATTACGTAGAAAGCTCGTTAGGCCATCAAAATGATCACTTCCTGAAGTAATAAGTCGACGGCCTCGCGTGCCGCGCGTTTTTTAACTCGGTCCTTTCGACCGAAAGCTTTCATTAAATATAAATGTAAGCCGGGAGACAGGAGCGTGCAATTATTGGCACGGCCGAGGGAACTCCGGGTCTTTTGCTCCGTACTGTACAGTACGTGCGTGGCCCGTTACCTATTCTCTTCTTAAATTTTCATCGCGTGGAAATAAACGTAACCTGGACGATCGAATACACGGATAATCTCGATAAGCGCGATGTACTGTACATCACGCTTTTGTGTACAGTACATCGCATACAGTTTCAAATCACTTATAAAGAACTTACGTAATAATAAAACAAAATTCGACACCTACTTTTAGAATATGATTTAATTCATAAGCGTTAATAAATAAATTGTCGAATCGTTGTAAATCGCGTTTACTTATTATTAATATAATGGAATTATTCTCTTCATCGTAAATACAATTATCGTATAGAAAAAATGATTCGTTTCGAAGGTTGGTGATTTTTTTAACTTACAATGGTGAAAATTTCATTAAGCTGCATTTTTCTAGTCAATAACAACGTTTCTTTCATGCAGAACTGAAAGAGAATTTATCATAATTTTAGTGTTTTGTAAATTCTTCTAAATAAAACTGCGTGGCGATAATTATAAATAGTGCCAGGAAATGGGCCGCAATTTAAAAATTGTATAAATTCCCCCCGTCGTCCGTCCGTGTGTTGTCTATTTTCCCTTAATTAATGTCGAGAACGGTGTTAGACGACCGGCACGACTTCCTCGTTTACAGGAAAAGTATGATGTACAGTACAGTATGGGGGGAAGACATTACTAACGAGTAAAATCGAGAGAATATATTCTAAATTAAATTACTTTAAAATTTGATTAAAAATTGTAGCCCGGCATTGTGACGCTCCACAATAAATAGTTGCTGGTTTTATTTATTTTGTAGTTATTCCTGAGTTTTATTTGTTTCTTTTACTGGATTCATTTTACTTACCCGGTTCATGTATTTAATATATTTTATATAATAGAGGAAAAGTATGGCCATCGATAAAGAAAATAACCCTCAAGATTTTTATATTTTTGGACGCCGAGAAATGCCAAAAATTTCGGGGAGTTTTTTCTATATGTATGTATGCTAGTGTGTGTGTGTATGTGTGCATGGCCGGTTTTAGACCGTTAGCGGCCCGCGTGCTACAGATATTTGGCCGCCTCTATCAATGCCGATCGCGAGTAAACTCATAACCTAACCCAACCCGTGAAATCCTATTGGTATGTTTTAGGGTAGTTTCATATAGTTGATAGGGGTAAAAAATCTATGAAAATATTTGATATATATTTATTTTCATTTTATTCAAATTTCCTTTCGGTTTCAACAACAATTAAAACAATGGTGTAAGTGTAGTCTTGCGATTAATGGTTGGGGAATAAAAGCCCATTGGCAATGAAAGTTAAGCATAAACGTAAACCTTATACTGTATTATTTAATGCAACCATTCACAACCAGTTACGTAAGTGTAATCTTAAACTTAATCAAAACACATTAAGATAAATAAAGTTCGGAGTTTACAAACTTCGCGTTTTTGTACTTTTTTCGCGATTTAAAACAAAAAAAAAATAATCGTAGTGTTTATGGCTTTTTCTCTATTTCAATAAATAAATCCCCCATCATCCGTTGTTCGCACTTTCAAATTTTCTGATGCAAAACACTTAACACGCTTCGGCTTTACTTATATCCATGAATTGCACAGCTACAGTATAACTTTATGTCTCAGTCGTCGTGCAAACATCCCTCTTTTTTTATCGCCGATCACTATATTAAAATAATATTAAATTATATTTTAATTTTATATTTTAAAGTGTACTATCAGTGGCCCTAACAATTTGGCCGCCTGCTTGCGCACGCTATCAGAACCGGTTCGATGTGTGCGGTACGATTTTGTTCACCCCGTTCGAATCTTAATAACTCCCGTCCGTTTTGTCGAAAATTTCAGAAATTCTGCAGGAAGGTTTGATTATTGGGGATCGATGCTATTAAATTTTGATGGTTAAAGGTCGAAGGTCGAAGGGCGGAGAGATAGTGGGGGTCGTGCGTATCTCCAGTAGGGTCGGACTTAATGAGATTTTACTGGTTATTAGCATTTTCAATTTCCTCCTCTGCCAACTAAGCCGTCATTTCTTGTCGTCCTGGTAGGTTACCGGACCGCCCGGTCATTTCCCACTTAAAATTTCTGAGAAAACACATCCAACGTACGGAAACCCCCGTTTTGCCTTTATCGACGTTTCAGGTCCTCGAGTCCAAAATCGTAAAAATTCGGAGAGGTATTTTTCGGGGATGGCCACACTTTACCTTTGTCACGCGAAACGGAGACAAAACAAAAATCGAGTCGGGAATTAAAATAGTACACAAATAACATAAAATTAGACCCCTGTAACGACCGATTAAACAACCACCAGAATTTCCTATTATTTCTTTTAGGATAAAACGTGGCTTTACGCCGGTGGGAAATACGAACGTATGCGGCCGCTACTGTTTATACCGCAGCGTTAAAACACCGGGTAACACACGTCGGCAACTCGATGGTCATTAAACGTCGTTTAACGTCAGATTCCGGTCTAAAACGAAATTTGACGGAACTTTTGAAGTTGCTGGTCGATTTTTCGTAACGCTTGTTTATCGCCGGTTTGGTAAAGACGACGTCGGAGAGAAACCGCGCCCGAGTCCACGCGCTTTACGCAAGACCCGGGAGGGTCCCGATCCGCGCCCCTCCGAGCGGGAGGAAAGCCAACACTCACCTGTCCCAGGTAATTGGCCGAGTCCAGGGAGGCTCCCACCGACTTCATCAGGCCGCACAGGCGCCGCACCAGTTCTCCGTCTCCGTGCACCGCCGCCACGTGGATGGGCCTGGGGAAGAAAGCAGAGCGGGCGTCACGGCGGATTCCGGCCTTCGGAAGGGCCAAAGCGGGCCGATAAGGAGGCCCAGGAACGACCGCTCCTATTTATTAAACGATAAATACGGTCGACCTCCGTTTCCACTTTCGTACGGGCCGGCGCCGTCTCTCCACTCGGGCCCCCGATCTCCTCCCACGCAATTAAAAAGCCTTCTCCTTCGCTTTGCCCCGGTCGATTTATCTATCGACTTTTTGGTCGGTCAGTTATGGAGGAAGGCCCGCCGTAAAATCGGCCTTTTCCCCCTTCCTCCGCATCTTTTACTCTCGAATCCGATTTAGGTCCGTTCCCGGAAAGATCGTCTCGACCCTCGGAGAAGATCGGATTTCCGGATCCCGGCTCCTTTCCCGGAAAAATCGCGCGCTTCTTTCCCCCCCGGCCCGCCGGGAGCCCGACGCCGCCGACTTCCGTCCGCTCAGGCCTCGATCTCTTCCCGCCGAAAAAAGCCGTCCGGGCGGGAGAAGCGGGAAGTTGCTCGCAAAAGGGAAGAAAAGGACCCACCTGTCTCCGTCTTCGTCCGCCAGCAGCGCTCTCTGGGCCAACAGCGACATCTTCTCCGGCGGGAAAAAGGCCGCTCTTTGCCATTTATCCGTCTTTCGGGGATTTCCCCGTGACTCGTCGCCCGGCCGCCGATCGAAGAGGGAATTTCCGGCTCCGCCCGGGAAATTTTCGCATCGATCGCTCCTTTACGATCTTCGTTCTTTCCCTCTTTTTCCGGCGCACGAAGAGGAGGATGGAACCCGAGTCGACCGGACGCGGGGCCTGCTAAGGGAAGTGGGAAAATTGCGTGGGCGGGCGGGTCCCTTTTTTCCGCCGATGGGTAGGGGACGGGCGACGGAACCTTTAAAAGTTTTGCAAGCTTCAGACGGCGAAGCCGGACTGACAGCATTGCTCATATAGGCCCTACAGTCGAGAAAAGAAGAAGGAATTAATGAACAAAAGAAGTAGAAAAAGAGAATTATTTATAATTTTAGAACGCAATAAAAGGAAGTGACGAGAAAATATGAGCGCGTGTGTCTTAGTTTTGTCGGTAATTAGAGTCGAAGGAATGATGCCGGATGGACTACACCGAGGAGACCTTTCTCGCCCCCCCGAACTGGTCTCGATTTTCCTCCTGGAGACAGGTGAGAGACCGATCGGGAAGCGGGGAAAGGGAAGTCCAACCAATTGGAGGAAGATATTAGGGACGAAAATTCTAAAAATCTCGTATGTTCGAGGACACGGGGCTGGTTTCTTCATCTTAATCACCTCATCCATCCGAGTGTCGTCGTCAGAAGCGACGAGTTCGACGAAGTTTCCGCGTGTACCAGGAAGTTCTATCGGCCACCGACTCGCCACTGCCCCGGGACCGGCCGACGGACGAAACGTAGGAAATTCGAACGTTCGGGACATTTGATAAATTTTCTTTTTGTCATCGGCAAGGACATCTTTTACTCGTGTAAGAAACTTTTGTATTAATAAACGGTTTCGTAAGGCAGGTTTGTATAATCTGCCTCTTACGACACCACCCACATACGCCAGAGCCCTTAGGTCAACCCGACGAGGAGGTTTATTAGTGCTGACAACGGACTATTGTTTAGGCCACCGAATATGTGGAGCTTTTTTCGTTACAATCGACTAAGTCGGTCGATTCTGGCCTACTTCTACAAAAAGAAAAATGTTCGAGTGATATAGAAGAAAAATATTATCAAAAACTTTAAATGTATACACTTTTATTATAACTTATTTTATTATTATACTTCTTATACGAGTTTATTTATTTTAATTAATTAAACGAATCCGTAATCTATAAATGACTTCGTCAAAGCGTTATCTACTTTGGAGTTACAATTTACCTTTGTTTACGTGTTTGTTTTACCGACCTTTTTTAAAAAATATATATATATTTGCCTAATATTTTTTGCCTTTAACTATGTTAAAAATAACTATTGGCGAAATAAGTTTTGTACGTAATGTTCTGTGTGTAATATATCTGTTTAATAATTAGGTAATGGTAAAATAAGTAAATAAATTTGCATTTTGCTATTTTGTTTTATTACACTTGTATAACAATTAGGAAAACCGTAGCTTATCCTCTGATACATTTAAATAGCCATAGAAATTTAATCCAGATAAAGACAAATTATTTTTTAAATAATTTATTAACTTTAACACTACATAAAGTGTGCTATACAATTTTACTTGATTCAGTATAGTGAGAAATAGTATTTGGGATGAAATAGTTTTGTATTTTTGACATGAGAAATTACACTCACATTGGCTCTACATATTTTGATAATTTATATAATATTCTGTACTATCAAAAGTAGAATATGAATGAAGATTTATTGATGGCTTAATACACCTGTCCTTTGTTTATACAGGCCTAAAACATCACTAACATGTCTTTCTTTTAGACTCTGTCATCACTATCACTTTCAATTTCTAACAATACTGTCTGAACTATTATCATCCTACATTCACCTATTTTATTTGTCAATCTCTAACTCGTCATACTATAATTATATCTAAGTTATTTACTGACTTTTATACCCCTCTAACCTGTTTGTAACTTTTTTTGGCTCAACTTTAATCTCTCTCTATCTCATTAATAAACACAATATAAATTGTGAATAACATATCAGATCTTTTTTCACTGCAAACTATAATAATTCACCTAATATTAATAAATAATTAAAAAAAATATATAGGGGCTTAACCTTGATAAACTCCAAAGACCCTAAATCTCTTTTTTTATAATACTGTAAATCTATCCTATCTTAGCACATGGCTTAACATTTCTATACATTTCCATAATTCTTTCTTTCTTTAACCTCGCCTTTTCCCTTGTTTATATAGGGTCGGCGTTTCCTTCTCTAATACGTTTTTTTTCCATTTCTCCCTATCAAGGGCTTCTTCTCTCTTAAGTTCCTTCTGGTTCAAGTCTTCTTCCATCTTATCTTTTTTCTAACGCATCTTTGGTCTTCCTCTTTTCTTCTTTCCTTTTACTACCAGTTTTCCGATCTTATTTCCAACATAATTGTCACTTCTTCGCTATACGTGGCCAAACCACCTCAACCTGCATTCTTGCATCTTTTTACTAAAGGAGCCCAACTTAACAGAACCTCTAATAAAATCCTTCCTTGACACTCCATACATCCATCTCAACATTCTCATCTCCACCGTGTGCAAATCTTCCTGCGTTTTTGGACTCTTGTTATTGCCCATGTCTCAGCTTTATATAACATTGCGGGTCTAACAACTGATTTATACAATTTTCCTTTCAGATTGCAGCTAACTTTCTTGTCGCATAATACACCGCTCAGCTTCCTCCAGTTCATCCATCCATATTGACATCTACGCTGCACATCGAGTTCAATCCTCTTTCCATCTCGACAAATGTCCCAAGATATTTAAAACTCGGAACAAAAGGGAGCGGCACATTTGGATTTTATTATTACACTCTTCTCTACCAGTCAAAGTCATATAAGCTGTTTTAGTTATGCTAGTCTTCGTGCCCCTTTTTTCCAAACTTTCCTCTAATCTTCCAGATTCTTCTCAGTTGGTTTTGGAATGTTCACACAGCACAGTATCATCCGCAAACAGCATACTCCACGGAACCTCACAATTCACGTCACACACCAACACGTCCATTATCAGGTCAAACAAATAAGGGCTAAGGGCCGATCCCTGATGTAAACCAACATTAACGAAGAACCCTTCTGTAGTGGCCACACTGCTATAAACTTGGGTCTCTGCTCTTCCGTACATTTCCTTGACGATCCTAACATATCTTTCTGGAATATTCTTTTTCCCTCAAACATCTCCATACGTCTTGCCTAGGTACCCTATCATACGCCTTTTCTAGATCTATGAACACCGTGTGCAAATCTTCCTGCGTTTTTCTGTGCCTTTCCATCAGCTGTTTTAGAGCAAAGATAGTATCAGTCGTATTCCTTCGCGGCTAAAAGCCAAACTGTTCCTCTCCAATCTCAGATTACTGCCTAATCCTTCTTTCTGCAATTTTCACCCAAATCTTCATAGTATTGGACAATGACTTTATACCGCAATTCTGTATTTTACATCCCTCTTTAAAAATCGGCACAAGAATGCTCTTCCTCCATTCATCTGGGATCTTCTCCTGCTGCCAGAGTTTCTTCATAAGGTCCCAGAGGATATCAATTCCCTCCTTTCCCAAATCTCTCCAAGCCTCAACCGGAATTCGATCAGTGCCTACTGCTTTCCCGTCTTCATTTCCCTAAGCACCCTTTCCACTTCTTCTCTGCTAATATCTTGCACCACTCCTTCATTTGCCATAAAGTTCTGGGGTTTTCTTCATTCAATAAATTCCTAAAATATTCTTTCCATCTTTCCTTCACCCTTTCGTAATCTTGTAATATTACTCCTTTATCATCTTTAATCAGTTTAATACAGGTAAAATCTTTTGATGCCTTATCTCTTGCTTTGGCAATTCTCATCAACACCTTTCCTTTCGAAAACTTTATAAGCTTTTGCTTTCGCAATATCCACCGCCTTTTTAGTCATTTTATTTGCCAAATGGTAAGTTTGTTTATCATCGGACCTTCCCATCAAATCCCACCTTTTCTTTGCCTCTTTCTTTTGTTTAACTGCGGCTTGTACTTCAGCATTCCATCACCAAAGTCCCTTTCCTTCTGGCGATCTCTTCCCTGAAGTTTTTCCCAAAACCTCTTCTCCAACTTTCAAGATGCAATTACTATTCAACAATCACCATTTTTACACATCATCCGGAAACCGGATTTCTTTTTAACACTTTTACGTTAAATTCTTTACTTAATTCCTCCTCTTTCAATCTCCACCATTTGATCTTTGTTCAATCTGGCTAACACAATTTTTACAACGGCCCATAAGAAAGTCACAATCCACCAGGAGAATTCTATGTTGTGCAGCAACACTTTCTCCATTTAACACCTTACTGTTTCTCACTTCACTGAGATGTCTCCTGTGGCACAAGAAAAATCAATCTGACTGGATGTACCTTCACTCATGTATTTAATCAGTTGATTCGCTTTCTTCTCAAAGTAGGTCTTAACTAGCGCAAGGTCAAAAGCCACAGCATGATCGACTAGTCTTTCCTCCTCTCCATTTCTTTTTCTCACGCTCCACCTCCCAAGAACTCTTCTTTCCGCATTCTTTTTCTTTCCAGCATAGCCATTTAAATCGCCCCCACAGATTACCGTATTTTTCGCCGTATAAGACGCACTTTTTCTCTCCAAAATCGGGGGGAAAAAAGTGCCTGCATCTTATACGGCAAATAAAAAAGCCCACCATGGCCCTCCGCTGCCCCTCCACTTCTGCATACATACATAACCGCAGGAATACTCGGCCACTCCGTTCCCTTCCACCTCTTGGCACCGTCTGATACCAGGAAGCTCCGCTCTGCCTCGCACTGGCTTTGTGCGGTCTTTGCCTCGCGCTGCGATTGGCTGGGCGAAGAGGCATGTGCCTTCGCTCTCTCCCGCGCTGGCTTTGTGCACTTTTTAGAGTCTCGTAAGCCAGCACGGGAGCGGGTGAAGGCACTCGTCTCTGCGCT